GAAAGCCGAGATTTGTTTCGGGTTTGCTTCGATTCCTCGTTCGGTGACTAGGTAGCCGAGGAATTCGCCTGAGGTAACTCCGAAGGTACATTTAGCTGGGTTGAGCTTCATCTCGTAATGCTTTAAGATTTTGAAGCATTCCCTGAGTTGTGCGACATGGTCTGTGTCTCTCGTGGACTTGACCAGCATGTAGTCTATGTAGACTTCCATGGTTTTACCGAGCTGGTTAGCAAACATTTTGTTCACTAGCCTTTGATAGGTCACTCCTGCGTTTTTCAGGCTGAAGGGCATTACTTTGTAGCAGTAGGTACCTCGATCGGTAATGAAGGCTGTTTTTTCTGGGTCTTCCAGATTCATCTTGATCTGATTGTAACCGGAGAAGGTGTCCATGAAGGATAAGAGTTGATGGCCAGTTGTGGCCTCGACCAGGAGGTCAATGTGTGGAAGTGGGAAGCTGTCTTTTGGACATGCTTTGTTTAGGTCGGTGAAATTGACGCAGACTCTCCACTTTCCATTTTTCTTTTTGACGACCATGGGGTTTTCCAACCAGTCGGGGTATTTTACCTCTGATCGATCCCACTTTGAGCAGTCGGTCTACCTCGTCGTTGACTGCCTTAGCTCGATCTGGACCGAGCTTGCGGCTTTTCTGTCTGACGGGTTTGATAGTTGGGTCGATGTTGAGTTCGTGTGCGGCGACCTCTGTATCGATGCCCAGTATGTCAGCAGTGGACCATGCGAAGGTGCTTAGGTTTTCTTTTAGAAAATCTATTAGTTCGGTGCGAATTATTTTCGCAAGGTCGACCCCGATTCCAATGCACCTTTCGGGGTTAGAGTCATTTATGAATACTTGCTCGATAAGTTCTGTTCGAGGTTCGCATACAGAGGGGTCTTTGTTGTGTTTGAGTTATCGGACCGCGAGCTCCTCCTCTTTCAGTAATTGCTATACGGGAGCTTTCTCAGCTCGCAAGAAGCTGCCCATATAGCAATCCCTTGAGGCTCATTGGGATCCGCGTATCGATTTGGTTTCCAAAGGGGTTGAGAATCTGACACATTGGTGGTATGTGGAAGCCACAGCTTTCATAGCGTAGAGCCAAGGTCTACCGAGAATGGCATTAAATGGAGCTGGGAGATCTACGACCAGAAGTCAATTGTTTTTATGACTCTGCCAGCCTTAACTGGGAGTTGGATGGTTCCCAACGAGTAGGTGGTTTCTCCTGCGAAGCCGGTGAGTGGAGTTCGATTGTTCGACAGCATGGATGTTTGGTATCCCATGCGTCTAAAAGCATCGAAGAACAACACGTCTAGCGAGCTTCCGGTATCAATCATGACCCTTGTGAGGTCGAATCCGCCTACAGTGATCTGTACGACAAGTGCGTCGTCATGTGGTTTATCTAGAGTCAGCGTTTCGCTTTCTAGAAAGCTGATTTGGTGGTCGGGTCCGTCCAGGGGTAGGTTTACCGTGGCAGACTCTACCTTGCGTTGATATGCCTTGATCGAGTTCTCTGAGTCTCGGCACATTTTCGAGCCTCCGCAGATGAAGTCGATTCGCTTCATTATGGGTAGCTCCCCCTCCCCCTCGAAGGAGTGAGCGATGCGTGAGCTAGAGCTCGCTTGAGTTCGAGGTGTCGGGACTTGGGTGATGCTTGGTTTTGACGAGCTTCCGAGTAGTTTTAACACGTGTCCTCCCGCGACCTTATGGAGCCTGGTTGAGCTAGAGTTCGATGGCTTCCTAGGTGTGGGACAGGGGGGGGGGGGGGGGGGGGGGGGGGGGGGGGGGGGGGGGGGGGGTGATTACTGATTTCATTGATCCACCACATAGGTTTAGTTCCCTGAAGATCAGGTCGATTCTTTTTCTCGCTGATGGAGGGGAGTCGGGGGTTTGGACTTCGATCTCGACTTCGCGATCTCGTTTTTGAGGTGCTTTATCGGTGTCCGCTTCCCTGTCTCGTGTCGAGGTCTTTTTGGGTTTTTTGCTTTTTGCCTCGGCTTTTTCCTTGGCGAGCTTTTTCGCCATGATCCTAGCTCGAGTTCGACATTCCTCAGTGGAATGTCCGTTCTTTTTGTGGTGCTCACAGTATTTGCTTTGGTCGAAGCTCGACTCCTTTTCAGGAGACGAGCTCTCTATAGCATATGAATGCTGACCTTTGCCATGCGGCTCCCTTTTGGGAGGTGTAACGTTAGCTTTCTTCGACCCGGAGGGTGCGAGGTAGAGCTGTGAATTGCGGTATTTTGCATCGCAGGCCGCTGTTTTGTCCTCGAAGTTGGCGTATATGGACGCGCGATGGAACGCGTCATCGAGTGAGTCTGTAGGTCGGAGCGTGAGCTCTGCCTTGAACCTCGACTGGTACCATAGGTTGGTTCACAGGACGAGCAGGGCTACTGCTTCGTTAGGGTTAGCGATTTTTGCTTTGATCACTTTGACTAGCTTCCAGAGATCAGCTTTGGTTTCTCGTTTTTCGATGAATATCGAATACTGTTTGAGGAAGGCTACTGCGAGCTCGTTGAAATTCGAGATCAATTTTTCTTCCAGCGTCTCGAACCATTCCTGAGCTGGTCCGACTAGGTTTTCGACGAAGAGCCTGCAGTATCCTACTTCTTTCTCTTCTGGGGAGAAATTAGTTCGGATAGCTGCGAGGTTAAAGAGTCGGATATGGGCTTTCGGGTCGCTGTTCCCAGCGTACTCCAGGACTCTTACTTTGGTAGTGTCTCAGAGGTATGTGTGCATGATCGAGTAGGTGAACGGGGTTCGTTGGGTCTTGGGAATTACTCGATCGATGTCAGGAGCTGAGCTTGTGGCTTGATGGAACATGGAGTTCATCTGCCGAATAGCATAGTCGGTTTGATTCTGGAATCTTTCAAAAGATTCACAGTCGACTAGGTTTCTTAAGTCGACGCCAAGGTGGTTAGTCCGAATCAGATCATTTGGAATCTGGGTTCCGAGCTGTTAGTGAACGAAACCTATGGGTTGTTCGCGGATCCCACTTGGAAGTCTCGAGCTCGAGGTCGTGTTCAGTTGTTGGCCGAACTGGGGTGGTGTTTGCGAGCTCGAGGCGAATGCCGAGGATCCAAGCCATCTCTGTCGAGGTGGCTCGGTTCCAGGTGGTCTTAAAGGTGGAGATGGATATCTCGTGTTGGGACGAGGTCCCATTTCGGGTATTCCTGGTGTCGGCACAGGTGGAGATGGATATCTCATTGCGGGACGAGGTCCCATCTCTGGTATTTCTGGAGCCTGAATATCCGTGGCGATTGGTGTCTGGTTCACCGTTGGGGCGAAGTTCGGTGGACCTGGAGCACGTAAAGGTGTCATGTACGGTCCGGATGGATTACTCAGAGCGGGGATCGACGAAAAGTCGAGCTGAGTCTGTGGAGGTGGACTCACAGCGAATCGAACTGCGGCTTGACGCCGTTCCTGCCTTTCTAATCTGATCTCCTGATCTCGTTGTCGATCGATCAGATGTGTGAGCATTTGGAGTATCTCCGCCGACTCCGACGTGCTCCTAGAAGCTGCGGGTATCGGCGGGGAAACAGGAGCTGCTCGGCTCTGTGATGCCGAAGCTGTAGGTAGATTCTCATATCGCACCCAGGTTCGAGAGGGAGGCCTCTCGACTGTTTGTGACTGGTTACTCGTTGTACCCGGTGGGGTGACGAGGTTGATCACGATCGGTTCCACACGGCTGGGAATGTTAGAGTTCATGCCAGTAGTGTCGACGAGGGTCATAACCCTAGGTTCGTTTATGCTGGCTGTCTGGTTGACGTTGCCGGTCGGGGTTACTTGATCTGGAGAGATCGGACTCGGTGAGACGTTTCCCGAGGTTTGTTGAGTTGAATCTATTTCGGTTTCAGCTGGCTTAGGATCTGCTCTTGAGTAAAAGAAATCTATAGATCTGTCCCCACAGACGGCGCCATAATGTGGATACTGAAATCCACACTCATAAATTTATGTGTATTTGTAAGGAAAGAACTTTAGAGGATTAAGGGATAGATTCTCTCGAACAGATTGACTGTATAAGCTAGCACTAACTGAAATAAGGACTTTGTATTAATCGGTCGAATGAAACGGTTACAAAGATCTCAATGAAAAGGATGAACTGAAAGAGCTCTGGGAGCAGTTACAGTGTTTTCGAGTGTAAAAAATGTGTACAAAGATCAAGCCGAAGGGGGCCTCTAAACTGAGCCGTTCTTCTTCTTTATATAGCTCGCCTCATCGAGCTTCGAACTCCAGCGCGTATCTCGGCCATGTGGAGCAGCTTCAGCCGGAAATCTCACCACGTGCAGTAACCTCCTCCGCGATCTTCGGGCTCGTTCGAACTGGCGAGAATATGCTCTGACTTGGCTTGGATCCTTCTTTGTTTCTCGGGATTTGGTCGAGCTAGAGCTCGACCTCGCCGAACGGAGCGTCTTGCTGCTCGGGATTGGATCGTTGAAAGATGAATGGGCTTGGATTGTAAGGTTGAAATCTAGTCTTTTTTGCTTAGTTTAGATCTGTCCGTTGAGCTTGAATTGGCCGGATTTAAGATGTCAAATTTAGTTTGACACGTATATATATTAAAAAATATATTTTTATTTTTAGATTGAAAACATTCTTAAAAAATATATATTTTTTAAATATTAAAAATATAATACAATAATTCAACCGCGCGTAAGGTAAACGCCTTCCTGTTAAAACGACATCGCTTCAACTTTCATTCTGCCCATTTCAATCGATTGTCCCATCCAAATAATAACAAAAAAAAAAACGGTTGAACGTCCAACTTTCTTTAACCATGTTACCAATCAAACCTTTATCACAAGGATTTCCAGTTAATACTGACCGTCCATTCAAATTTCGGTGTGACGTGTCCTTCCCAGGTTAACTTTATCCCCCTCTAACGTCCTTTAACAAGCGGGTGAAAAAGTGAAAACAGAGAAGAAGAGAGAGAGAGAGAGAGCGCATAATAACCATTTTGGTGCGGAGGTGATTTCTGCGACGGAAGCTTTTCTCTCTTTCATCGTCCGTACCAATGGCGCCGAGGAAGAACAAGGCTCAGGGAGAAGACAAGGCAAAATCTGTGGTGGAGACTACCTCGAGAAGGCAGACTCGAAGCATGGATCGTCTGACTCGTAGCGAAACTCAGCGACGCGGCGGTAACTCGTCTGGTTCTTCTTCCTCCAAGCTCATGAAGTTCGACTCTCCCGAGAAGAAGAAAAGGAAGACGAAAGCGAAGGAAGGTGGAGCTGCGACGAAGAAGATAAAGGTAGAAGATGAGGAAGATGTTGAAGTCAAGACGGAGAAAGAGGAATCGGCGAAGAAAGACGCCGATGTTGCTGCCGAAGACGACGATGTCGCTGCAGAAGACGACGGTGTTGCTGCAGAAGAAGAAGATTCCGGGACAAAGAAGATTGTGATCGAGCACTGGTAAACGAAAATCTCTCCCTCATTTTCTTGGCTATCTCTGTTAGGTTTTTTCTGATAAATTTTGGGGAAAATGTAGTAGCGAATAGTTGGGTCTTTTTCTACTCCGAAATCGAAGCTAATCTTGGGTGCTTCTCGCTGTGATTTTGAGAAAAAAAATCGTGTTTTAGGGTTTGTTGTTAGGGTTTCAGTGATGAATTGCACACAGTCTCGCTTGTTTATAGATAAATTGCGTTGCTTTGAAGAGGAATTGACCCGATTGGCTTTTTGTTTTCTCATCTGTTCATTATGCAAATGTGAGGCTTGCTTCTGGTCCTTAGTGTGTCTTGTTGTGATCTTGCTGATGTTCTCTCTCGTTATCTTACTGAAATTTCTTCTTGTTTTCTTGAAGCAAACAATGCAAATCATTCAGGGAGAGGGCTAACGAGGTGAAGGATGGCCTTGAGAATGCTGTTCCTGGCATCGCAGTGACTGTGAATCCTGTTAAGGTAGCAAATCTCTGAGTGAAGATGTATAGATACCATCATAAATGCTTGATGTTCTTGATTGTTTTGAGATCGTTTGTCACATTATGTTTTGACTGTGAATCCTGATAAAGGTAGCAAATGTCTGACTGAAGATGTATAGATATCATCATAAATGCTTGATGTTCTTGATTGTTTGTCACATTATGTTTTGACTGTGAATCCTGATAAAGGTAGCAAATCTCTGACTGCAGATGTATAGATATCATCATAAATGCTGCATGTTCTTGGTTGTTTTGAGATTGTTTGTCACATTATGTTTTGACTGTGAATCCTGATAAAGGTAGCAAATCTCTTACTGCATTATTGTCATAAATGCTTTATGTTCCTGATTGTTTTTGACGTTGATTGTCACATTACGTTTTGACGAGGAGTAATCATTTCCTTCGCTAAATTTTTTCTTTTTGATCTGCTTTAACAGCCAAGGCGTGGTTGCTTCGAGATTCGAGAGGAAGGCGGTGAAACATTTGTCAGTCTCTTGGTAAGCCTTTTCATTCTCGTACTTCAGTATAATATGTCGATTAGCCGCACTTCTGTGAGTGACTTGTTCCATTTGTAATGAGTTTTCTCGTATTGTCCTACTCATTCTCATAATATGTTGTCTTTGATGATGATATGCTTTCAGAAAATGGAATTCATTTTTAGATTCTTTGATTCTATTTCTGCTTGAGTCAACTGATCACGACAGAAGTTTTGTGAGAATCATAAAATGGTTTTTTGGTTGTTCTCCTCTTAGCTGAATCAAGTTTGAGTACTAAGTTGTTTGATACAAGTTTATTAGTGACTTCAATATGAACATATTTGCTTTCATGTGCTTGATTTTTTGAGGTACATAGAAGATAATGTGACTTTCATTCTCGTAATTCAGTATAATATGTCAATTAACCGCACTTCTGTGAGTGGCTTGTTCCATTTGAATGTGCTTTCAAAACTATGTCAAGAAGATGATATGCTTTTTAGAAAATGAAAATTTTTGACGCTATTTTCTGCTTGAGTCAACTGATTATGAATGAAGTATTGTGAGCATCATAAAATGGCTTTCCGTTGTTTTCACTTTAGCTGAATCAAGTTGAGTGATATGGTGTTAGTGACTAAGTATATGCAATATGAACATGTTTGCTTTCATGTTCTTGATTCTCAGAGGTATATAGAAGATGACTGTGACTTTCTTATGCAGGACATGAAGCGCCCATTTACAGAGATGAAGGAACTTAACATGGAAGAGGTCATTGCGGACATCGTAGAGAGGATTAAATGACCAGGCTCTGCGCCGTAGGTTCTACCAAAATGTCGAATCTTTTGTATCCTCCTCGGCATAATCAAAATAGGATTGTCAGCATCTAACTGCAGGATTTTTTAGCCTTTTAGGCTTACTTTTGATGATTTGGTGAAAACCCTTTGAGCTCGGTTTCATCATTAGCAGTGCAGTTTCTTTATGCTACAAAATTTCTGATACATTTGGTTGATTTGGATAATGCTAGTTTGAAGCAATTCGTTGCACTTATTGTTTGATTGTGTATGGTGTTAGTTTTCTTACGCATTGGATGAATGAGGATAAAAGATTAAAACATATACATAGTTAAAATTTTCAGTTTACTGTCCTCTACTCGCTCTGTCTCTTAAACCATCTTAGAACCCAGCAAAGCTAGCCACAAACCCAAGAACAAGGACCGCACCAAAGGTCAAACCGGGGTTAGAAGCAGAAGTAGGTGGTTCAGCTTCATCAGCTGCAGCCATCTTCTTCTTACCAGCGTTCTCTGGAGCTGGAGCAGGAGAACCATCTTCCGATGGAGCTGATGCAGGTGCGGTTTCGGGAGCTGAACCAGGAGGAGCATCTGCGTAGTCCTCTACCTCAGCTGGTCCAGGAGCTGGAGTGGCTGCATCCTTCTTGGGCGATGGAGCCGGTGGTGAAGACATTGGTGGTGGTGGAGGAACCTTAACCGGAGACCCGAGTCCAGGAGCCACAATGGGCATGCTGATTTGAACCACAGAGAGATTGTACGGGTTACGGAACACGGTCGTGATGTACTCAGCGGTTTGAGGAGCGCCCTTCACAGCAGAGCCGAAGTAAATCTTCCCGTTAGATTTGGAGCAGTTTAGGAAACCGTTTTGCTGCTGGCCCAAACCGGTGGATTGGTAAAGGGAAGTGAGCAATGTGCTCTTGTCCTTAAGAGCCTTGAGCTTGAGCTCATCGTAGTAGTCAAGAACCACATGGTTCATGAGAATGTTCTTGAGCTCCTCCTCGGGTCTATCAGAGATGGATTTGATTGCATCGTTGCTAAGAGCCAACACGGTGATGGTCTGACGTTTGTTGATGATCGGTGTGAGCTCGGTCTTGGCGAAAAGCTCGGTCATGGTGCTGAATTCAGGGTATTTCTCGAGTGCTCTGGTTATGTTAACCGCTGATACAATGGAGGAGACACCGAGTAAGACGGCGAGACAGAGGAGAGAAGAGGAGGCCTTGAGACCCATCTTTTTGGGTGTTTATTATTTATTTATTTTTTCTTCTATAGTAAAAGCTAAACCTCAAAGCCTGAGTTTGCAATAGGAGAATCTGGTTGGGTATATATACAGAGCTTGAGAGGAGGTCAAGATTTAATGGTGGAGAGACATTTTCTAAGATTATGTTTTGGCTAAATTTGAACTTGTCTTTGTTGTTGTTACCTCTATATTTGGAACTAAACTGTTTTATTTCTTACCTTTAGTTTTAGGGATTACGATATTGAGATTTGTTTGGAGTCTTCATAAGACTCAAATACATTATAAGACGATCAACACTTTCTTTTCTCCAATTCAGTTTTAATGTTTTTTTCTCTCAATTATTATAGCCATATGGCTTTCCATCTTAAAATTTCAAGTACAACAGTCATGGTTATGAGAATTGATCTTGAAAGACATTGTTGGCATTGTAGTTTCTCGTTTGTTTCTATTACTTTTTCATTCTCATTCTTATTACTTTTTTAGGGATAATAACAAAAACATAGGTAATCAAAGAAGCTTTCAAGAGATTGTAGCTATCAAATTAACCAAATGAGATTGATGACATCACCAACCGATAAAAAAAAAACACATATAAGATAAGAGAGGAGATGATATGCAAATTGTGAGCTTACAACAACAGATTTTGCTTTTGCAGTCTTTGTTTTACTTGTTTCAGACCGTTGCAGCTCTGTTTTAAAATGTTGCAGATCTGGGCTTTGTCTTTATTTCAGATTGGGCTTGATCTTCTTGGCCCATCTTGTGGTTGCTATAAGGTCCAGTAACAGAGCTGTATCGTTTTGGACAGTCAAATCTTTACTTCTTTTCAACACTCGGGCTCTCATCGTTAATACCATTTTCTTTGAGTCAGTCCTATGAGAACAAATAGTGTATACACATTTCTCAATATAGTTAAGCGGCTTTTACAACTAAATACATTTCAACTCAAAACTGCAGTTGCATGTTACCGTTCTCTGTCCCCTCTTGGTCATTTTCTTGATGACTTTCGGATGTAGGAAGAGGCGGAAGCAAATCTGAGTCGATCTCCCGATCATCGGGCTTCTCTATGATCTACAAAACTCGGAATCAACAAAGGGTTAAAACAAAGAGAAACTAAATGCAATGATAGATATGTTCATGAGGTTTGGTACAGAAGATAAACAGCAGAAAGAAACCACAGACCGGCATCATCAGTTCAACAATAGAAGATGGCCTGAGATTGATGATATTGAGAATCTCAGCTTTTGCTACTTTGAAATCTTTGCACTTCTCGGAGAGTTTGTTATCACACTCTCGTGTTTGAGTGCAAACAGCAGTCTCCATTGACCTGAGAGATCGCTCGAATTACCAAAAGTAATTAACTTTACTAAAGCCCTTTAAGGACAAGACACAAACAGAGAAAAGAAATTGGGGAAAGACCTTATATACTTGTACTCTAATTTAGCAATTGGAGCTATAACTCTTGTAGTTATCCTTTGATGCACCCCTTGAGTTTAGCAACTGAAAGCACTTCGAAATTGGTAAGCACACAAACGTTTGCCCATTTGATTACTAAAAAGAGAAGGAATCAAGCATAAACAGAATGAAAGATGGAATGTACATAAGAGAACATACATATTCATCACTGACGTTGAAAAGACAGCACTAATGAGTAATGACTATAAAGCTGAAAATTCAAATGGGAAAAATCAACATCAACAGTGTTTATAATTAAAAACATCACAAAATTGAAGGAAGTTTTCAATTTAACAAATACTTGAAATCAATCATCTCGCAAACATCCAACAGCTATTCACAACTAAACAAATCCGACAAAAATATCCACTAACACTATAAAACTAAAACTTTTCAAGAAGATTAAGTAAAATGTTTCTTACGCACACGTGTTAAGCCAGAATCCAAAACCCATCAGAAATCACAATTGAAATCTAGACGCAAATGGGCATAAACACACAATTTTGGATCGCCTCACAGTTTTAAACCCGATCTAACAGATACCAAACATAAAAACCAGCATCAAATCTAGTGAAAATTAAAAGAATGAGGAATTCGAGCCTACTTGATTGTGCGAAGAACCCAGAACCCCAAATAATCAAAGTAAGCAACTTTTTAAAGAATCAAAGTCCAAAGGAAGAGACTGTCTTCGACTAATTCGTCTTCGTCCTCCGTCTTTTCAAGAAGAAGAAGAAGAAGTACGATGCGTAACGACATCGTTTAGTCAAAACAAAAGGAACCCCTACCTGAACAATGTCGTTTCAAAAGCCAACTTAAACCAATCAACCCATCATAACAAACCAGAGAAACAATACCAAAAAATTACTTGGTTATAAGTTCCGGTAGAACCACCCACATCCTATATACCCGGTAGAATTAGAAAAAAAAAATAAACATGGAATCGGAAAAAGGAAATACAGCAACATTCATAATAAATTATAAACAAAAAGGAAAGAGTGCATTGCTTAAATTTAACGCGTTAATTAATGACCGTTAGAACAATTCTTATAAATAATTAAACAATCACACCCAATCTTTGTCACAATTCTCATATTAATTTTTCATCTTCCACATCGAATCTCTCTCACTCTCTCACTCTTACAACTCAAATCTTTCTCTCTGCTTTTGTTGAATTTCAACTACAATGGATTACGGAACCGTCAAGATAGATATTACTGCTTCTACAATGAGTCAAGATCCATCGTTAGGGTTTAGCCGTGTGTTCATAAGTCTAAGTCGGTTCTCAAGTCAAGGATCTTACCCAGATTCCACTTTCCGCGACCCAATCAAACTACAAAGCTTCTCACCGAACTATGTCTATCAACGTGTCTATGACAAATGCCACGATCATGTCTTGTCTCGACGTATTACCGATGAGATTGTTGACCAGAGTCAACGGAGAGACTTGCCGCAAGGTCCCTTGTTCATGATGCTGTACGTCGACTTTACACAGAAAGAGTGCATCGTCTTGCCTCCTAGTTCTGCTCCTTCTAGGACGACGACGACAGATTCGAAACAGGAGATTTGTTCGATCTGCTTGGAGAACATGTCGGTTTCTGAATCGGATACTAAACCCAGCTTGCAATTGCCTCAATGTAAGCATGAGTTCCATGAAGATTGCTTCATCAAGTGGTCTGTTCGACATAACTCATGCCCTCTTTGCCGTCGACCTGCATGAAAGAGTAAAGCTTTGGAGGAGAGAAGTCTTATAATTAGTATAACTAGGCCAATACCCGCGCTACGCACGGGTACAATTATGTTTTTAATCTTTTTCATTTTGGTTTGTTCATGTTTTTTTTCCTACTTGTGTCTGTTTCTAATGTTAAAACCTAATTACAATAGTTTGAATGAAAAGTGTCTGTTTCTAATGTTAAACTCTAATTACAATAGTTTCAATGAAAATAAGAAAACTTTTGTTATTTTTTGTTATTCATTTTGAATTTTAACTTTTGTTGTTATGTGTACTTAGTTAGATATTCCTTCATTTAAAATTGTGGAGTCTCCTTGGTTTTTCTATGGTATTATAAATTTTTAGAGTCTAAATGTCATCATCTCTGCGTCGTAGAATTAAGACGAGCGTAGAATATAGATCACATGACCTAACTCCATGTATTATTATGGGTGAAGTAAGATATAGAAGGAGAAAAACTGAAGTGAAATTGAGAATACCTAACTTGTGTTTCAAGCAGTGCTGTATTTGATATTGAAAGAGCGAATTCCCCCATTACATAACTCAACAAGCAAGCCAGGTCCAGCGGTGATTAAGGAGGTACAACTTCTCATTAGAGCAAAATTAGCGGATTTAAACAGGAGGACTTTGTTTCGCCCACAGGCCTTAACTCGCTTTTCAACGGTTTCAGAAACACTTCTCTACATGTGGTTTAAATACATTCAGTTCTGACATTGTTCTGCATTGCCTTGCGATCTCTCTTTTGTTCGGGGATCTTTTTTTAGGTTTGCTTCACAATGTTTTACAGTAGTTTCTGCTTTATTTTTTTTCCCTGTGTGTTTTTGAAACGATATTCGTTTTCGGAGAAGAAAAGAAGAATATATATATATATATATATATATATATACTAGGTGATCGGTGCATGCTATAAAACATTTTATATGTTCAATTATGATAGATAATATATTGAAAATGTTTTATTTGTATATGATTAATTATGTATTAATAATAAAATAATAAATATTAATGATAAAAATAACTATAAATTAAATAGAAATATTATATATTTTAATAAAAAATAAAGAAAAAATATTAACTAAGATATTCCATATATACACTGAAAACAAGTTTTTAGAACAAATATAACAGGAAAGTTAAAAAATTTTCACCCTCTAATATTTTTTATTTGATCTTTCTGATTTCACTTTTTCGGAAAGTTTTCCTAAATATATTTTTTGTTGTCAATATTTCATAATTTTTAGGAAGGTCTTCTAAATATTAAAATCGAACATCATTTCATATGATTTCGGAAAACTTTCCTAAATTTTTTTAAAAATCCTGAATTTTGGAAGGGCTTTCCTAAACATTGGAAGAACTTACTAAATTGTGGAAGGCTTCCTGACTTTGAATTGTTGTATAAATTAACAAAAAACAATTATACGATTCACAAAGGCTTTCCTAAATACATATAATGACTTCCTTAATTTATACATTTTAGAAAAGTCTTCCTAAATTTACTTTCATCTCCTTCCACACCTCTACGACACACAAACCATAATTTCTGCGGATTTCTTTTCTTTTCACCATTTTTGTTGTTTTAGCTCGGGTTTCTTGAGTTTTTTACCCAATTATATCAGATCTATCTTCCACTATATGATTTTTTGAGATTTAAATCCTGTAATTCGAATCCTTTGTTTTATTTAGGATTGCTCGTCTCTTTTGATTGTGATTTATGATTGTGAATCAGGATTTTTGTGATCTAAAAGATTCACAATCATAAATCACAATTAAAAGAGAAGAGCAATCCTAAACAAAACAAAAGATTCGAATTTCAGATCAGTCTTGGTCATTAATGCCTTTGTTTATACACTATTTTTTTCTCCTTTTATTAACTAATGTTTTGTCTAACTAAGGTTAATATGGTCAAGTGTTTAGTTAAAAATGTTATGCAAGAAATGTTTTACAGTATTAGTATATATTGAGAACAAAAACTTAGATTAGGTATATTTGAGGGCATTTCTTTCGATAAAAATATAAATATGATAACTAAATAAACAGGAAAAATATTAAAAATATATAATAATTTATTTAATTGTTATTTTTGGCCTGCACGCATGTGCAAGTCTAATTTTTAATAGATATAATTAGTTGAAATATCTAAGTACTGATTAATTTTCTTATACATTATGTAAATGTTATGTTTTTATACATATACAATTTTAGTGTTAAACAACAATCACACAAACTTTTCATATCGTTTTGTGTCTTTTGAAAACTTTTTATTTTTCCTAGCATTTACAGTAACATATAATTGCAAATCTTAAAGTTATATTAAATAATAATTAAATTATTATAACATATTTTGAATATGATCTATATAATACTTTATTTTTCTCTTTACATAATATAATCTTGCCAATATATATATATTTTAAGTATATATTTTTTCTTGATCTATTGCCAATTAAACTAAAATAAATTTTACCATATTTATTTATCCTAAGAGCCCGCACATTCGTGCGTACCAACCACCTCACCGCTCTTGAGACATTTAATTTTTTTTAAAAAAATATATAAATTGTTTAACAACTAAAATTAAAATTAGAGTGTAATCGAGGTTAGTAAAATGTATGCACGACAAGTTTGCATGCGAGTTTGAATTTTGCACAATTAATATTTATATCTACATGCATATTCGCTAAAAAAAATCAAAGTATGATTTTTATGTGTTAAAAAAAAATAACAAAGTATATGTTTTGTAATATATATTTTTATAATGCATTGTTGATTTTTTTTTAAAAAAATAAGTATATTTATTCATGTAGGTATGAGTTAGAAATAAGTGAATTGTAATATTTAGGTGTTGGTAAGTTTTTTCTAGTATTTTCTGCAAACGTTATGTTTTTACACGATGCAGTTATTGGCGTTTAACAACAATCACGAAAACCGTTTCTATCGCTTTGTATTTAATCAAAGTTTCTTATTTTTTAGCGTTTGATGATATATGGTATTAAAAATATAATAAAAAATTATTATAAAAGTTGTGAAATCATATTTCATAAAATTCTCCGGTAGCTCTTCGCTCGTCTCTTCGTCAACTTTTTTATAATCTGCAATCGCTCGCTTCCACAAACTCTATGTAATTGAATCGTTTTAACCAATCAGATCTTTACTTATATATGTATTATTTAAGGTGTAAAATAATATATTTAATATTTAATTGTTTTTGAAAATTAAGAATTGATATGTTCCTAACTTTTATATATTTATTAATATGACATATAATGGATCACAACATATACAAAACTTGATTCATGAAATAATATTTTAATATATTTGAAAAAATATATGTATAAAAGAATTAATATGTGTAAGATAATATTTCAAATATTTCAAATAAAAACTTAAAATCAATCAATATTTTTTTTTATTTGTTGTCTTCTTTGACTCATATTTGTTTTTCTTAACATTTAATAATATATTAAATATGAAGATCATTTTCAATTTATTTTTCTATTTTTTCTTCTTTAATATAAGTCGACTTCTCTCTAACATATTTGTTATTTTTTCCTCTATAATTGGAGGAAAAAAAAAAAACCTTTTTTTTTTTCTCTAAATTAGTAGATATAAAATAAAGGTGGGTTGAAGATGCTTTAAACAAAAAAATATAGTCTCGGATTTTTACTTAAAATCAAAGTCTTAAATATTTATTTTTACTTTTACTTCTACTTTTTATTCATATATATAGTATTATAATAAAAAAAAGTTTAGCTAAGAAGATAGTTATAATTTTTTTTTCTATCTGTTTATTTTTTTCTTTTATTTATAATTTCGAATTTTTGCTATATAATGAGAATTCTTATTTTAGAAAATTTGTCATGTTACATTTATGAAATGACATTGTTTTGCACTAACTTTTCTTAAGGTGTTGACACATGTGATTTTTTTTAAGTAAACATGCTTCTCAAATAATAATAATAGTTAGGATATAAAAATATTAAATTGAGAATACCACAAATAATTAATAGTTATGTTGTTAAAACTTGCATAATTTAGAAAAAAAAAGAATTGATTTCAGAGATTTCAACCTTTGTCGGTCTTGATGCATATCTTTTCATATGCTTTTTTACTAATAGAATGATTCAATATCTTCTTTGCCCGCTGTGGTGAATTTATCTCAAAAACATGATAGACACAAATTCTGATTTTGGTCAAATTTGTAAGAAGCTTTTCACGATTTCTAGTACATATTCCCACCACTCTTGATTATCACCATTGCAAGCATTTGTCTCAGTCGCATCAGGGCCATCGAATTAATCATCTTCTACTATAAGAGCATCATTTTTAAAAAAAATTGGCGGGAACACACAGTTTTTCATCCCTATCCACAACTCTTTCAACTTTCCACTTTCACCACTCACTATCTTCAAGTCATATATATAAATATATCCCAGAATCATTTAATCCAAAATAAATCTACAAAAAAATATTAGAGATAGCAGTTATCTTCTCAATCTCAAATAGGTGACGGATTTCTGTGTTTTTTTCTATGTTATTACCATTGTGTTTGTAAATCTGTAATTTGATTTCTGTGTTTTTTCTGATTTCTTCTTGATATTTTTTGGTGGTATTCATCTCTGTGAGGATTAAACTCATTCATAGTTTTTAGGGATGGTTATTAGCTTTTTGATAATCATGAAACTCGAATTGAGATCATTTTCACAAGTTATGTGCTCATGTGCTGTTAGAAAACCCAATCTACTTCGATAATTTGGTTTTTTTTGACTTACATTCAAGAATTTAACAGTTCATTAATGCAGAACTTGACCTGTTGCTTTTTCAAAAAATATTGAATAGATGAAAAAATATATGAGTTCAATTGTGTGTGAGTGTATGCTTTGGAATTTCATGTTTCTCTTTTCGTTCTATCGAGAGTTTTAACTATTTATTAAAACTCTTAATTTTGGTGGCAGCTTCAATATGTTTCTGGTTGCAAGCACCTTTTGATTTATGAGTAACGTACTATCTGTATATTGTTCTGCTTCTATCAGTTCTTATTACCTAAGAAAAAAATTAAAAACAAATTCAAATCTTAATATTTGTGAGTTGAATTTATTTATTTTAGATTTTATATATTTCGATAGACCTACTTTTTTGTAAAAAGAAATACAATTAAATGATGTTTTTCGGTGTATAGCATCGGGGAATAATACTAGTTAGTTAATAAATATCAATAAAAGTTTTTTAATAAAATTTAATATTAGAGTTTCAAATAGTTATATTATTTCTAAATATAAACTATTATTTTTTCTTTTGCTCATCTTAATTTTGTAGCTTTATTTTTTATAGATTATTCTAAAATAAATAAAAAATCCTTTGTTTATTTTTTCACTTAATAGTTTAGATGAAATTTTTTTTTATAATAAAAATTCATGCGTTTTTAGGTTTTTTGTGTGTATTAAATGGATCAAACTAAATATCCGTAAATATTCGGAAATATCTGCAAATACCTGTAAATTTTTCTGGATATCCAAACTGTATATTTCAGAGCAAATCAAATCATAAAATTAAATATTCATTAAAAACGGAGCAAATCACTAATACTCAAAATTTTGCAGATATCTGATCCGCGCCCACTTCTTAGAAACAACGTAATTAACAATCACTATCATAGATTAATCTACCTACTACACTACATGAATATTCCGAAGCAATACGATTCTACTTTTCCATCTTTTGATCTGAAGGATATTAATTGTTTTTTAAAATCAAATTTGATATAATAAATAGCAGATAATCTAATTTTACAGCTTGTTTTACTAATGTTGTTGTGTGGATGGTGGAATAATTCAACCACCAAGTTAAACCGAGAAATAGTAACAAAAATTACTTTAATTAAAATTTCGGTTACAGTCAAGCACATCCGAACCGGTACAATCAGGAAAAAGGAAATCAATAAACCTGAGATACAACATATCGAACATTAATTATAATATGACCGTTAGACGATATTTTTAGGAAAAGGAAATAAACAGAGAAAAAAAGGAAACTGAGCATTTTTAATTACGCGTATAAGTGTATAACCCTCTCGCCCTATTTTATCTTATAACAACAGATCGCTCAAGAGACCCACTTTTCATTATTTTTCGTGAAAATTTCTCTCTTACGACATAAACTCTCTCTAAATTTTGTTAGATTTCAAACGATAATGGAGACTCAATCGATCAAGGTACATGTCAGTGCAATCGCGACGCCTCAAGGTTCGTCATTAGGGCTATTAAGCACGGTGTTTATAACCCTAATTCGGGAGATCGAGGAGTTTATGGTAGACGAGGGTGATGATGGTCGTATCTCGAGTCTCGGTTCTTACAAAGATTCATCTTCTCAAGACCAACAAATCTTTCTCCGACTCCAGAACTTCGCACCGGACAACGTTCATCAACCCATCGATAGCCAATTCCACGATCGCGTCTTGTCTCGGCTTATAACTGATCAGATCGTTGACGAATCGAAGCGGAAAGACTTGCCACAAGAGCCGTTGTTCGTGAAGGTGTTGGTCAAGTTGACACAGAAAGTGTACATGGTGATGCCTCCTTCTTCCACGACGGCGAAAAAATCGGAGTCGGATTTTTGCTGTGCGATTTGTCTCGAGGATATGTCCGAGTCAGAGAATCTCTGTCAGTTGCCTGATTGTGGGCATATGTTTCATGAGGGATGTTTCGTAAAGTGGTTGGATCGAGACAGAGACTCTTGTCCTCTCTGTCGCCAATCGCAAAACCCATCAACGAACAAGCCAAGTGAAGCTTTGGAGAAGTTAAGGGAGGCTTAAAATTAGGGTTTCAGGTTTTGGTTTTGTTCTAAAAGTAACGATTCTGTTTCATAAGTAATGATTTTGTTAATCTGTGTTAGAAATCGAAAATTAGGGTTTGTAATTTGGTTTATGTACCATCTCGTTGCTATTTTTGTTTGCAATTCAATAGATTTTATTAACTTGACATTTGTCTTTAAAATTCCTTTCTGTAAATTTCATTGCAAGCTTAATTTCTGATCAAAAACAACGACTCGAGATGAGTTTAACTCATAATATATCACAAAATAGATCATCAAGTATACTACGAACTATGATTGAAATTGAAATACTAAACAAAGAACATCTCTCAAATCACAAACCAAGAATCAAAATCCAATATCAATCAGTTGAAGCAAGCAAATTGCTAGAGTGAGTTTCAGAATGATACTAGATCGTGAAAATGCAAATTTCATCTCTCAAACCACCAGAAGATACAACTGACTCTATCTACTAGCTAACCGCACTCAAAGCTCGACGTGTTTGAAGTGATACTCATCGATCGTCGAGTATATAAGACCATCGCCTTCCAGTGACTGAATCACACCCCTGTGAAGAAGACACACGAAAACATATAAAGCAAACTCATTCAGAAGATCAACAACTTGCAAGTGTCAGAGATAGAGAGATATATCAATGATAAAGAAAAAGCATATATACTCTAGCTTGTTCTTTGGAATCTTCAGTTGCTGGGCAATTTCATCAATGTGTATCCCCTGTTGTCTCGCACTGCAGTGAATACAAACAACAATGATCAGGCTAAAACATCAGGTGGTGCAAATTGGCAAAGCAAACTCAAAGTCAAACTCACGTGCAAGCAGGTTGCTTTAGATAGTCAAGAATCATGTCATCAACGTTCTTGCGACCATTTCCATCACTGCTCTGAGAGGGAACCACCTACAAAAGAGCAAACACAGGTTATATTTAAAAACACACATGAATCATATAACTCATGTAGAAAGACCAAAACAAATCGGGAAAATCTCATCTTACAGGGTTCAATGTGGTTGTCTGGTTCGTGTTAACTGATGCATTAGCCAAATGGGATTGAGTGGCATCACCAACTTGCTGTCCCGACTGAGAAACCACACAAACACACATGTCAGAGAGGATTGGTTATAAATTTCGTGAAGTTACAACAACACAACACAGTTTATCTTTTTGCTATGTTACCTGTGATCCAGAGTTCTGTGAATAGAAGTGTATACACTCGATATAGTGAAAGGTAACCTCATTGAAGTCCATTATAGGTCTGCAAACCAAAAACAATCTTTAATAACTCAAAGACGATTCCATAGCTTATCTAACAAACTTATATACCAACGGCAAAGAAAAGCAAACATTTTAAAGTCAATAACATAAACGTAAACGTACCTCACAGAGAAGACAAGAAGCTGTTGTTTCCCCTGAAATGTCTTCAAATGACCATTGAGACGCACATAGGTTCCATCTCTGCTTCACAAGCTTTAAACCATAAGAAACAAAACTTCCAAGAAATGTGAATCTCACCAAATATCTAGCAAAAGCAGAAGATACTAACCGCACTGATTCCATTTCTCTAGCGTCGAAACTTTCATTGACCCTATAAACAAGAAAGGCATAAACATTGTATGTTTCATCTCTCATTTCATAGATAAAACAGTTTGAGTTTATCTAAAGAATGTTTGTGCATCTTACCATCTTTTACAATCGATTCGTCCTGTTCCATCATCAAGTGTGAATCTTACTTCAGTGACCTTTGAGAGATCTTTGTCACACACTATCCCAACCAGTGAGACCTGAATATGCAACAAGACCACAACAATTGAGTAAGCTTCGAAATCGGGAGAAAAATGAACAACAGAGAACATCTGAAATGGGTTTTAAAGAGATTGTACGTTTGTTACTTCAATCCCATTGATGACAACCCCAGATTTTTCACCACCGGAGTGAGAAGACTCGGTTATTTGCTTCACCGTCACTGGGACGAGACCCTGAAAGTCACGATTCTGCATTCCCAGAATATACCAAAGCGGATTTAGAATCCCAAATCGACAAATCTAGGGCAATACGAGTTTTACAGGGGTACGAAATAGCAATCGGATACTTTCGACGAAACTAAACAAAGAAGAAGAAGAGATTGGATTTACCCTAGCAGTGGAGGAGGAGCTTTCATAGGCCTGAGAAGGCTGAGAAGACATGAATCCGCCGCCGGAGAAAGCGGCGTTCGGCTCGAATTGACTGTTGGAGAACATTTTTCGAAAGTGAAGAGAAGCTCACGAATCGAGAATTCGGAGAGAGAGAGAGAGACGGAAGTTGGAAAAAGATCGGAGAAGATCGATGGAGAATTTTAAGAAGGGATGAAATATTGTTTTGGGGATTTTCCCTCCAATTTCGACTAAGCTTCCCGCCTATTAGGGCTGATTAACGAGTAGATGCTGAGTGGTGTGGTGAGTGACTCGCTTTACTCCAGGTTATTTTTTTTAAGTTACTTTTCTTTTTTCATGTAAAACAATTGATTAACAAATTTGGTGGTCGTTATACTATGAGGTTTTAGATGATAAAAGTTAGGGATGGGCATTCGGATTGTTGAGTATTTCAGGTTTCAGATATTTTGGGATTATAGTTTTTGGTACCGATGAGGTATTATTATATTTCGGATCGGATTCGGCTTGGATCTCTTTGAATTCGGATCGATTCGAATATAAATTTTCGGATCTGATTTTTTTGAATTTGGTTCGGATTCAAGTATTTTTATCCAAAAAATAACCGAAAATAATCAGATGTAACCAAAAATACTCAAAAATAACCAAAAATCTAAACATAAAATTCGAAAATAACTAAAATAATGTCGATTTCAAATCAAATTATCCTTTAAAATTTTAAACAATAATAAACATTAATATTCTACTTCAAATTTTGACCAAAAGATACAGATACAAAAAACCTAAAACATAAGTACTAAAAAAACTTAGAAAGTCGGATATTTCGGATAATTTTTCGGATATCAGATTGGGTCTGGATATTACCAAGTATCCAGAAGTCAGTAAAAATTATATCCAATCGGGTATTGTGAAGAATTCAAACCGGTTTAGATTTGAATATTTTTGGATCGGATCCGGATTGGATTTTTGGATCAGGATAAAATGCCCAACACTAAAGTAATAAAACTGTACTTTATGACCTCAAAATAAATAAAATTAATTTAATAAATTACCAAATATATAGTTCTAAACGTTTTCATATCCCATCCAAACAAATATAACATGACAAATGATGCCCACAAATATACTTCATATATCTATGTAACAAAAAAAAAGCCATTACTCATCATGACAATAAACATATTTTTTTATACTTAATGTAAATATTTTTGAAGGAGTAGACCATAATGAAACTCATTATATAAGTTAATAAAATTTTATTCCATAATTTTATTCTTACGTTTTTTTTTAATGATTAGGAACTTTTGGGCCAGGTGGGAAGATTTTCTTCTTTTTGTTGGGAATGGTTTTAACAAATAAAGTAGATTTTGTATAAATGACTTGTTATGTGTCATTTGCAAATTAAAGAAAATAGTAGGGTCAGTTAGTATATATTATTTAATTTCCAGGCCTATTTGTTTTTATTACTTTGGAATTCGTTGATTTCTATAATGCACTTAAATTGAGTTCGTACATTGCAAAACAGCACCAAAGTTTGAAGATCATTCCTTGCTTGGGTTCTTGTACGATCTTCTGCTCTTTAAGCTTTCTCTTTTCCTATTAAGTTTCTAAATAAATGTTTTTCTTGGTCCACAAAAGTATACAAATTTCCTCCATAAATGGCTTCTGATTTGGAGGCATTTCTATTGTCTCTTCCTTTTTTAGCTGTTCTTGTTTGTTTACTGGTAATCATCGATTAAAATCTGGCTAAAGTGTTGATTTTAGTAACTTTGTTATAGCTGATTTTAGTAAGCTCAAATCTAAATAGTCTATGCATTGTTGGTTTTCTGTTTCAATGAAAGTACGCATATTTTTTTCTTGAGAAAATTTTGGTCTCTCTAGCGGATGAAAAGTGGGTTTTTATTTGAAAGAGTTCACTTATATACTAAAAACAAATGATCAACCGTGCAAATCTCTGTTATAGCCTTGTAGGGTTTGATTTAGGGTTTAAGGTTTGTTTTTTTTTTAAAAAAAAAGGTGCAAACTTGGTTCAAAGTCGGTGTCAAGCATTTGATAAATCAAATCTCATTGTATATAATGGTGAAAGAGTTTGTGATTGATCTAATCATTGTTAAATTTTTCTACTCTCGTGTTTTTAGGATTCTGGTCCAGTTTGTGAGCTCTTTTGAGAGCCATTGGTATCAAACTTATTAGGGATCATGGCAGAGAAGAGAACCAGCGAAGGAGGAGAAGTTGTTATCAACGTTCCAGATAAAGATTCAGATACGTTAAGCAGTCCCTCTCCTGAAATTCCAAGTCCTAACAATGAAGGTCTAGTTCGGAGAAAATCTTTTTCAAGGTCAGTTTACTCCAAGTCCAATTCAAGGTTTGGGAGACAACAGTCTTATCGATTCGATAAGACCATAGAAGAGGAAAATGATGAAAACCCCAGGGACGTGCGCTCAGTAGATCTGAGTGATGTTGTTGAGGAGGAGGAAGAGGATGAAAATGAGGAAATCTACAAGAAGGTTAAGCAAAACCGAGTGAAGCGTAGTAGAACGAAACCTATGGCTCTGCTTCAGTTAGCAGTGTTTGTAGCCATTTTGTGCACTTTGGTTGTGAGTTTAGCCGTTGAGAAGGTGAAGAAGCATCGCATTTGGGGTTTGGAACTCTGGAAATGGTGCGTACTCGTGATGGTGACGCTTAGCGGAATGTTCTTGACGAACTGGTTCATGCATTTAGCTGTGTTCATCATAGAGAGAAACTATCTCCTACGGAAGAAAGTGTTGTACTTTGTGCATGGTTTGAAGAAGAACGTTCAAGTCTTCATTTGGTTCACGCTGATTCTTGTTTCTTGGGTGTTTCTGTTCGAAGAAGACCATAAACACTCTCGCAAGACCAAGAAGTTTCTCGACTTTATAACTTGGACTATTGTCTCCCTCCTCATCGGATCAATTCTTTTCATGGTGAAGACGTTGGCCTTGAAAGTTCTTGCTTCAAAGTTCACCGTCAGAAACTTCTTTGAGAGGATTCAAGAATCTGTCTTCCACCAATACGTTCTCAAGAGCCTCTCGGGTCCTCCGCTTATTGAAGAGGCAGAGCGTGTCGGGAGAAAGCCAAGCACGGGACAGCTTAGCTTCACGAGCACCGAGGATGGATCGGTGAGAGGGAAGAAAGTGTTGGACATGGGAAAGGTTCACAGGATGAAACAAGAGAAGGTCTCTGCTTTGACGATGAGAGTTTTGATTGAAGCCGTTGGATCTTCAGGTCTCTCAACCATATCAAACACTATAGATGAGTGTCGCAATGAGAAAGGGAAATTTGATAAAGAGATAACTAATGAGATGGAGGCTGTGGCTGCTGCTTATGATATCTTCAACAATGTTGCTCAACCAAACCACAAGTGAGTCATCACTAAAATACTCTGTTTTCATCATAATCATATGCTAACTTTGATGTTGCTTCTTTATAGTTACATAGAGGAAAATGACCTGTTGAGGTTCATGATCAAGGAAGAAGTAGATCTTGTACTCCCATTGATAGAAGGCGCAGAGACCGGAAAAATCACACGCAAAGCTTTTACAGATTGGGTGGTAACATTTTCAAACACCTTTTCAAATACAAGTTCTTACTTTCATATGTGTATGTCACTCTAGACGTTAGAGCATGTTCAATGGGGATCTCTTAAGTAGTATCTTAACATTAAATTATTTAAAAAAATTGAAAATCGAAGAGTCGGCTATGAAAATTTAATAATGGATTTTTAATTTTTTCTAACACATGTTATTTAATTATTTGTTCATTTTCTTTGCAAAATTATGAAAAATAAAATAATAATTTTTTTTAATGTTTAGATACTCAAATTATGAATTTTAGCATTGAACATAGTCTTATAAGACTGGAATGGGATTTTTGTGTCTATGCCTATCTTAGTAAAACGTTTATGTGTAAGCATTTGTTGCCATTTTTTTCTTTTTCTTTTTGATAGATTAAAGTTTACACAAGTCGAAAAGCTCTAGGACATTCATTGAACGATACAAAAACAGCGGTTAAGCAGGTGGACAAACTCATAATTGGAGTCTTGACCGTTGCCACGTTCATCATTTGGTTAATACTTCTTGATATAGCATCGACCAAGTTTTTGGTGGCCTTCTCCACTCAATTCGTGGGTCTTGCTTTCATGATAGGAAGCACTTGCAAGAACATCTTTGAATCCTTTGTGTTTGTGTTTGTCATGCACCCTTATGATGTTGGTGACCGTTGCGTTGTCGAAGGTGTAATGGTAATTTACTTTGAAATATTTTTCTTGCTCATCACTACTAGCCCTCAAAGATACTTGACCATTCATTTGTTTTATTTTCTTTGTTGCTTTGAAGTTGCTGGTTGAAGAAATACATCTTTTAACAACCGTGTTCCTCAAGATTGACAACGAGAAAGTGTTCTATCCAAATGCTGTTTTAATATCGAAACCAATAAGCAATTTCTACAGAAGCCCAGATATGGGAGATTTTATAGAACTCTCCATCGCATTCTCAACACCAGCCGCGAAAATCGCCAGTCTCAAAGAAAGAGTCAAAGAGTAAGTACCATTAGGCAAACACAAAAACCCTCTAGTAAAATCATTCATTTACTCACTCACTTTGTGTTTTTTTGTTTTGTTTTTGGGGTTCAGATTCTTGGTTCAGAACCCACAACATTGGTATCCAGAACCATTGTTGATGGTGAAGGCGATTGAGAATGTGAACAAACTGAAAATGAATCTGCTTGTGCAGCACACCATCAACTTCCAAAACTTCGCAGAGAAGAATGTCAGGAGAACTCATCTTTTCATCGCGCTCAAGCGAATACTCGAGGAGCTTGAGATCGACTACACTCTCCTTCCTCAAGATGTTCAACTCACCGGTCACAAGTGATCGTTTGCTTCTTCCTTTTGGCGTTTTGTTTCACTTCTTACTTGTTGTTAACTTGATTTGTTTCGGTTTAATAATTTAACTCATATGGGGTTTCTTTGTTTCGAAAGAGACTTATCTTCCTGAACCAAAATATACTCTTTACCTCTTAAGCTACGGATTATGCCAAGAAAGCTACAGGGAATTCCTCTAGTAAAAAAATTATATATATATGAGCTTATTTTTAACATCCAGACAAAAACAAAAGAAAAACCCTAGTAGTAACAAAAAGAAAAAGTTGCCTTGTATCACAATTAAAAACACCAAGACGCCTTCCCCTAAGAGAGAGCTTTGTATCTCTTCTTATTCTTCTGAGAGAGAGCTTCCACCTATAAAGAGAGAGCTAAAATCTTCCACTTTCCGAGAGAGAGGTAAAATCTTACAATCATCTACAAATAAACCACACGAATTAATGAAATATATATTACTTCGTTACCAAGAATCAATAATCTAGAGAAAAAAAAAATAAGTACCTCGGAAAGAACAGCCACAGGACATTGATCGTGGATCCGGTTGGTTACACAAATTCCCAACTTCAATTCTGAATCCATCCACTGTAGATCCACTACGTTGCTTTTGGCGTTGTTCTGTGTTGTTTAAGATATCAGCAGGAGTAACCAAATAAAGATTCTAGCGTTTTTGGCGTTCTTCTGAGTTGTTTAAGAAATCAGCAGGAGTAGCCAAATAAGGATTCTGAAACGGTAAGCCTTAACGATTACATTCCATCCTTCCACGTTAGTTCCATTAAGTGCCAAGGCCTTCTCTTGTGCACCTTGTCCCAGTATATAAACCTCAGCAACTTTGTCGAGAAGACAAACATATGTGACCACTCCACATGAGGAGAAGTGTTTTCACAAAGCATTTTGATGAAAAATATGTGGCTAGGTTTTTTGAGAAATTGATGAAAAACAAAAATTTATGAAGAGTTATTATTATTAGACCTATAGATGGTATCTAAAGAAAATATCGGAAAAATAAAATAAAAAAGTAGAGGAAAGAGAGAAAACCGTTTCTCAAATGAGAAACTTTCCGGTTTATCTCAAAGGATAAGATATAACATTAGACCTTGGAACCCTAAACTTCTCTCTAAGAGCTGCCATTTTGCTTCTCTAATTTCTGGCTCCGTTGGTTCTCTCACCACCAGACTCAGGATTCCAGTTTGCTTTTCTTTTTAGTTTTAAATATTTTTATCAAATTTGATTTTTGGGGTTTTGATTTGCAGATCTAGTTGGATTTAGGCATAAGCGTAGTTTGGAGTACAAATCGTTTTGAATTTCGATTTAACTTGTTCTAAAAGTCTTTGATTTTTTTTTTTTTTTTTGCTTTTCGTTATGGATCTACTTTTTAGATCTGGATTCTGTCAGCTTTTCTGTTTTGGGATTGTCGGGATTTCTTTGCTTGTTTCATTGGAAACATGTTTAGTTTCTCACCAGTTTGATATATCACTTTTGTCTTTGGAGATTCGATGCTACTTGGTTTGGATCATCTACTCTTCACTTCTGCTTTACTGATCTGATTGAAAAGTTCAAGCTTGATCAAAGAAGAGATTTATCTACATCATGAGAATTGTTGTCATGTTGTCTTCAAAAGTAGAAGAAGTATATCTACTATTATGGGTACAAAAGCGTCTTTTATTGACATTTTCAAATTTCGGAATAAGATTGTGTTGGTATCGCCAATGTATCATCAAGTAAATCCCTCTTCATTAATTTGTTGGAAAAGATCATTGGTTTCTCTCTATATTTTATCTGTCAGATCTCTTCTATATTATAATAATTAAAAACAAAGATCAATAAAACAAAATGCTAAAAAAATGAGAAACTTTCAGATACTCTTAAATACTTTTATGACAGTTGTTTCTATATATAATTGGTTCAAAGATTTTAAGAAAATTAAAACATAATTCAATAATTAAAAATTTTAAAAATAGTAATATAAATTAGTTTAGATAGCCAAATGAGAAGCTTTACTGATTAAGACATACTCTTGTAAGATCCATAGATTTATATAGTGATATAAATGCAACTAATTTCTCAAATCAACACAACAATAACCCATAAGTCTCTCCAGGTGATGACACCTAAGCTTTTTCAGGCTTTCTCAACATGACACCTCAACAAAAAAAATCAACCAATAAGAATATTTTATTAATACAACTCATTTAAAAAAAACTTTCAATTTATTTGGGTCAAAAAATTTATCCAAGATTAACAACTAAATAAAACCCATTACATTTGAAAGCCCATAAAATCCTTTGATATAAATAATTATTTAAAACAAAACAAAATTTCTCTCTTTTTCCTTCAAATTATCATTAAATATCAGGTCTCCTCAATTTTATTTTATTACTCTGCCTGCTGCATCGGATTTATGTGTTCTTCTTTTTAAAGAAATATGGATAAACAACAAGATACTACTAGCAATTTTTTAGTTTACTTTCTCAGAAAATAATCTTTTAGTTTTAAGTTTGATAATTATTTTACTTTCTTTTTAGGTAGAAAGATTCCAAATTATTATCCTAATATAGTTTAACCTTTGGCTGATTTTTCGCAGGAAAATACAATTTCACAGTTTTTTTTGAGAAAACGCGATTTTGACGATTTTGGCGGAAAAATACAATTTCTCAGTTTTGTTAGGAAAAATACGATATCTCGGTTTGACGAGAAAATAATTTTTCTTGGCTTTGGCGGGAATAGGAAATTTATCAGTTAGGCGGAAATAGGAAATTTATCAGTTAGGCGGAAATAGGGGATTTCTTGGTTTCGATAGAAAAATGTGATTTTCAGTTTTGGTAAGAAAACATAATTTTCAGTTATGGTGGGAAAAAGCGAATTCTCGGGTTTGGCGTGAAAATGTGAATTTTCAGTTTTGGTAAGAAAAAAAAATTGATTTTGACAATAAAACAAAATATCTTAATTTTGACGGGAAAATGTGATTTTCGGTTGTGATGGGAAATGCAACTTTTCAATTTTGACTAAAAAATGTGATTTCTCTATTTTGATAGGAAACACAAATTTTCGACTTTTGATGGATAATATGATTTCTTAGTTTTCGCGGAAAAATGAGTTTTCTTAGTTCTCGAGAAAAATTGCAATTTCTCTGTTTTGATGGGAAATGTACATTTTCAGTTTTTGACAAATAATGCGATTTTTTGGTTTTCATGGAAAAAAAATTCCCCAGGAGATAATTTAAGTTTTGGTTTTCGCGAGAAAGTGTAGTTTATTGGTTTTGGTCGGAAAGCGTAGTTTTTAGATTGACGAGAAAATAAATTATTTGGTTTTGGTGGGAATAGACGATTTCTCAGTTTCCGCGGGAAAATGAAATTTTCGGTTTTGACGGGAAAATACGATTTTTGGGTTTTTGTATGAAGATGAATTTTTTGGTTTTGGTGAAAAAACGTGATTTCTCGGTTTTGGCGGAAAAACACAGTCTCTCGCGGAAAAATGTGGTTTCTTGGTTTTTGCGAGAAAATACAATTTCTCTGTTTTAGTGGAAAAATAAAATTTTATGTTTGACGATGTGAGGAAGCCACAGAAGTTATGAAAGTGTTTCTTATTGATTTCAGAGTTAGACAACGCCTTATATACAAAGTGTTTACCCTAATGTACATACTGCTAATTTACATTAGTCGAGGCCCAAAAGGTCTCCAATACCCCTCCTCAAGGTGGAGTGTTGATGTTAAGAACACTCATCTTGAGAAGAAACTCCTCAAACTCTTTCCTACCCAAAGCTTTGGTCATAATATCAGCCAATTGTGTCTTTGTAGAAACATGCTTAGTCGTTATGGTGCCACGGATGATTTTATCACGGATGAAGTGACAATCCCTCTCTATGTGCTTTGTACGAGCATGAAATACTGGATTGGCAGCTAGTTGAATAGCCGAGAGACTGTCATAATGTAACGTGATCGATGCTGAACAATCAATACCACGCGTCGGCAAAAGCTCACGTAACCACAAGAGTTCCTGGACTGTGTCAGCCATAGCTCGGTATTCAGCTTCAGCTGAAGAACGTGAGACCACATCATGCTTTCTTGTTTTCCAAGACAATGGAGAACCACCAACTTGAATAACCCAGCCCGTTAAGGAGCGACGTGTTAACGGACAGTCTGCCCAATCAGAGTCACACCAAGCAGTAAGAGTCAAATCTGAATCAGAGCTGAGAAGTATACCTTGACCCGGATCATTTTTGAGGTAACGGACCACACGAAGCGCTGCATCCCAATGTGCAGGTTTCGGACTCGCCATAAACTGAGATATAGTATGAATGACGTAGGACAGCCCAGGTCGTGTTGTAGCGAGATAGATGAGTTTTCCAACTAAGCCTCGATAACAAGAAGGATCAGATAGTGGTTCACCTTTTGCTAATGCCAACTTGTGGTTTTATTCCAATGGAAAAGAAGCAGGTTTTACTCCCATCAACCCAGTCTCAGCGATGATATCAAGTGTGTATTTCCTCTGACATAAGTAGATGCCAGCCGGACTGCGAGCAACTTCGATACCCAAAAAATACTTAAGGACACCAAAGTCTTTCATGTGAAAGCAGGAACTTAGGTACTCTTTGAAGTTGGTGATGAGTTCAAGAGAGCTTCCAGAGATGAACAAATCATCGACATACACAAGAACTTGCAGCTGATTATCCCCTTGGCGTAGCATGAATAAAGAATAATCTGAGTAGTTCTGCTCAAATCCGTACTCTTTCAGAGCTATTGCTAACTTTTCAAACCAACATCTGGGAGCTTGCTTAAGACCATATAGCGATTTGTGTAACCGACAAACTTTGTTCTGCTTCTTGTCTTTTGAGCGAAAACCAGGAGGGAATTGAATATAAACCTCTTCATCAAGATCGCCGTGAAGAAATGCATTATGTACATCCATCTGGTGAATCTCCCAATCTTTAACAACTGCAAATTTTAAGAAAGCTCTCACTGTTACCATCTTAGCAACTGGTGCAAAAGTTTCATTGTAGTCAACACCTTTGGTTTGGTTGTTACCAAGAACCACAAGCCGAGCTTTATATCTCTCGATGGTGCCGTTAGCTTTGAACTTAATTCTGTATACCCATTTACAACCCAAAGCTTGTTTTCCAGGAGGTAGATCAACAACAGTCCACGTACCATTGTCTTCAAGAGCGACAATTTCATCAGTCATTGCATCACACCATACATCAATTTCGATAGCTTCTTTGAAGTGTTGAGGCTCAATCTCCGAAGTAGTGGCGAAGATGTATGCTTGATGATTCTTGGAAAATTTAGAGCTTGCTAAGTAGTTATCCAATGGGTAAGGAGTAACAGATGGAAACGGGTCATGAAGCAGAGTGGTCACATAGCCTGCAAGTCTTGTCGAGCGTTTCTTGTCACGCAATCCACGACCAAGTATCTTTGGTGGTGATGGCGATGCAGGAGAAGGAGGAGAATCAGATGCCTCTGCTGAATCTGTTATTGGAGATTCTGAAACCAACGAAGAAGGTGTTTCTGGTGAAACAGAGTATGAAGAGAGAGAGGTGTTCCCGGAGAGAGTCGGACTTAAAGGTCCTGCTATGGGAATCTCTGCAATACTCTGCAGATTTCCAGAATTCGGAGAAATTGTTTCAGTTTCGCCTAAAGTGTCTTCCTGAGGTAACGACGTTGGAGCTTCAAAGAATTCATCTGTATCATCATCATCGAGAGAGTGAATACAAACTGATGAAGGCAAAGACTCTGGACTTGAAACATTCGTATTGAAGAAAGGAAATGCTGTTTCACAGAAAACAACATCACGCGAGACAGATACGATACCAGTGTCGATGTTATAGACACGCCAGCCCTTCTTGGCAAAAGGATAACCGACAAACACAGAGGGATTACTGCGAGATGCGAATTTGTCACCACCGTGTTTCTGATTGTGAATGTAGCATAGACAGCCGAAAACCCGGAGATGATGAATCGGAGGTTGTCGATTGTAGACTAGCTCAAATGGAGTTTTGCCTTGGAGAAGTTTTGTTGGGGTCCAGTTTATCAGATAGGCTGCTGTCAGAGCACAGTAACCTCAGAATTCAGTTGGAAGATGAGCATGAAACCGAAGTGCGCGTGCAACATTGAGTATATGTCGATGCTTTCTTTCGACAAGACCATTTTGTTGCGGAGTTCCAACACAGGAAGTCTCATGAATAATACCCTTCTTAGCAAAGAAATCGGTCAAACAGATGAACTCGGATCCATTGTCGCTGCGGACAATTTGAACTTGACTTGTAAATTGTCTTTCAACAAGTGCAAGAAAATTCTTAAGATGGTTCGGTGCGTCATGTTTGGATGGAAGCAAGTAGATCCACACAGCATGAGAGAAATCATCCAGTATTGTTAAAATGTAACGTGATCCACAAAGAGCTGTAGTACGATATGGACCCCAAAGACCGTAATAAATCTTCTCAAAAACTCGACTAGTTTTATTAATACTCAAAAGAAATGAATCTCTTGTTTGCTTGGCGCGGATACAAACATCACACGTCTTTGAATCAAAAACACCACTACTAAAATCAGATAACTTTAACATCTCTAAAGCTTTAGAGGAAGGGTGTCCGAAGCGACAGTGCCAGAGCTCCGTAGATTGTGAACTCGTGCCTTGTATAGCCGCTGCAGTAGCCACTCCTCTGAAGAAATAAAGACCATTCCTTTGCTCACCCGCTCCAATCAGCATCCGAGTGATGCGGTCCTGAACAACACAGATCCTATCAGTAATCTGAAACACACATCTGCTATCTCTAGTCAACTGTGAGACTGAAATTAGATGACACTGAAGACCATCCATGTAGAAGACATTATTGAGAGATACAGAAAAACACAAGTTCACTTTTCCTTTGCGATGTGAAGTTGTATAACTACCATTAGGAAGCTTAATCATGATCGGTGGCATATCAGAAATATCAGTTAAGAAGTCAATACTTCCGGTCATGTGGTTGGAGGCTCCTGAATCAATAATCTAAGATTCTAGAAAGTACTTACCAGTTAAGCGATCGTTCGGTGCTGGTTTGCGTTCCTCAAGCATCTGCACGAGAGCCTTCCATTGTCCCTCGTTGAGACCACTGATGCCAATGCGGTCAGACGAAGTAAGATGTGCATGTGCTACGGAGGATGAATCTTCACAAGCCGTCACGTGATTAACCCGAGCTGATTCAGTGACACGATCTTTTGAAGAATTTGGGTTCGTGAGGATGCCACGTCCTGCTCCGCTGCTATCAGACCCGCGAGAGTATGCAGACCCAAAATTGTTGCGATTCTTTTTACCAAACCACGCAGGGTAGCCAATTTTACGGAAACAGTTCTCAGCTAGATGACCCTTCTTTCCACAGTGAGTGCAGACGATGGAAGTGTTACCTCTGTTTTCTGAGAAATTTCGTGAGTTTGATGTTTGAGCCGCAAAGTTGAGCGCGTCGATGCGATCCTCGTTCATACGCACAGTAGTTTTTGACTCCTCATCTTGAGTGAGAACATTGTATGCCTCATCAAGTGTGGGTAGAGGATCACGAGAAAGCAAGTTTGACTTAACAGCTCCGTAAAGAAATTCATCTAACCCCATTAGAAATTGATGGAGTTTGTCATCTTCTCTTTCTTTTTGAATTTCAGCTGCAATCTTTGCTCGTTGGTAGTCAGATAAGCTACTCCATATTTTAGTGAGTTGTCCGTAATATGCTTCAATTGCAAGTCTTTTCTGTCGACAATTGGCAAGCTCTGTTTTGAGCCTTTGCACCCGTTGCCCATTTTTCACTGAGAATCGCCGTTGAATGTGTAGCCATAGATCATGTGAATCATCACTGTGTGAAACGGAGGATCGAAGTGATTCGGAAATAGTAAGTTTGATCCAAGAGATAACGAGTGCGTTATTTGCACACCAATCTTCATAATCTTCAGAGTCGTCATCAGGACGAGGTATAGAACCATCTGCAAATCCAAATTTCTTTCGAGCTTGTAATGCCAACCGTAGATTTGTAGACCATTTGTCGTAGTTTGGTCCACGCAACAACGGCTGAGAGATGAGAGTGCCTGGATTATCGCCAGATGTGAGGTCATAAGGGGAGATGGTTCTTCTCACGTATTCAACACGGGATTTAGATTTCCATGTTGTGGTTGCAGATCCATCATGTGAAGAATCTGTTGTCATTGAGAAAGATTCAACGAAGAGAGATCGAGGAAGATGAGGTCAATTGAAAGGAGTTTTAAGAAAACAGAGTAAGAAAAGATCGATACCAATAACCGTTGTTTTTAGGTTATTAGCTCTGATACCATGTGAGGAAGCCACAGAAGTTATGAAAGTGTTTCTTATTGATTTCAGAGTTAGGCAACGCCTTATATACAAAATGTTTACCCTAATGTACATACTGCTAATTTACATTAGTCGAAGCCCAAAAAGTCCCCAATAGACGATAAAATGAATTTTTTTGGTTTTGGCGGGAATATGTGATTTCTCAGTTTTCGTAGGAATATGTAGTTTTTTTTTTTGACGGGAGATGCGATTTCTCGGTTTTTGTAAGAAGATGAAATTTTTCTTTACTAAAATTTCAAGTTACAATATGTTTACAGTAACCAAAATTTAATTATTTAACTTCAAATAAATAGAAAGTTCAAGAGTTTAAATAGAATATTCTGTTTGGTTCGAAAGCAACAACAATGGTTTTAATATGAATGTTATTGATTATAGTTTGGTGGTTTTAGAAACGTATGTTTATAATAAATATTTGATAAATAAATAAATTTTGTACTTCAAAATAATCATATTAATTAATAAATCTTTTTTTAAATGGCATTTTGCTTTACATAATTACAACGAAAGATCAAGTGGTAATTTAGTGGAGAAAATATATTATATATATCATTAGCATGAAAGTACTTAAAAATGTATTGCTTTATTCTTATATATATATTTATAGTTAGTTAGCTAAACAAATTTAATAGTTATTTATAATTTTAAAAAGTAAAAAAATTAAAGATATACAATGTTTATTCATATTAAAAATATATAAATATATAACTTAAGCTAATAAAAAATAAAAAATACTCATTTACATTATAAAAATAATTTTATTATATTAAAAATATATACAAAATTTAGAAAAATATTCCGCAGCGTAGCGCGGATAAATACCTAATAATATATAAAAGAGATAAAACTAAATTTACTAATCTAACATATTAAAACATAGATCCATAATGTTGTAAATCTTTCCAAATCTTTCATAGTTTTCATAATCTCCATATGGTCAATATTCTACATAACTCTCAATAGTTTTTGTTTTAATGGACTATTTACATCTTATTATATAAAATTGGATACATCAAAATTAGTAATTCATAAAATTTTAATGATTTAGTTTATATATGAACACAAACGTATTTATGAAAAACTATTTTTGTTAGACTTATAGGATCCATAAACTTATATTTTCTTTTATTTTGGTAAGAATCAGGGGATTATATGTCCCCTTGGTTTTATTCAAAGAGCAAAGATTACATCCGGACCTGGCGAGGCCATAAAGCAACTTGAGTATCCTCTGACATAGTCAGTACAACATCTTCTGGAGCCACTGAAAAGAAATGAAAGCCTAAAAGCAAAGTAAAAACATAGTTTGTTAACCCATTCGTAAGGCGGTTAGCCTCTTTATACACATGTTTAACATAGATAATCCAGTCCTTTGCTAAAAAGTCATAGCACAGGCGTATTAAGAAAGATAGGGATTACAATCGCTAATCCCTATTGTTAAGAACCCCACTACTATTTCCGAATTAACCTCCAACTCCAGTCGTACCACACGCGGCTCCTAGGCGATATATAAACCATAGTAAACTCTCCAGAGCTCAGCTAACGGTGCCGAACATACACCGATATTTAGAGCAAAACCACCACACCAATTATCATCCCCATCTCGTAGCACACCACTCCATAGACTTATATAGAGATAACATAAATGCAACTAATTTCTTAAACTAATATATAAAAGAGATAGAACTAAATTTACTAATCTAGCATATTAACAATTTTTTTAATCTCGACATGGTTAATCACTTAATCTTCTATATATCTCCCAATAGATTTCGTTTTCTTGTTTTATTATGGACTATTTACATTTATGTATGAATATAATCAATGATATTTTTATGATAAGTCTTCCAAAAAAGAAAAGAGTAAAACCATCTTCAGAAAAACAAACGTCATGGAGAAAGAGAAAAGAAGGAAGATGTATTTCTTGACAGAGGATACATGGACGATGGTACTTGTAAGAGTCCCGCTTAAGAGAATCACCACTTCCAAATTAGTATGCAAGCAATGGAGATCAATCGTCGAATCTACGTTGTTCCGCGAGCTTTTTCTGTCTCATCATCAAAACTCGCATTCTTCATGGTCTCTCATATTGGGCAAACATTCGCCTAAAGAAGTCTTGGCTCACTACGGATGCAAAATATGGGGACTTTCAAGATCGCTTGGCTCTTACGTCTCCTCTTTCGTCACGTCCAAGTTCGACACAAACAATGAAAAACCTAGAGTGTTGGCTTACACAGATGTCGGATTGATTTTGATCTGCGTGACATCTATTCCTTGGAACCGAACCTATTACGTAGCTAATCCGGTTTCACTACAATGCGTCAAGATCCCTCCTCTTCCTAAATCTCTTCGGCCGTTCACACAAGAGGGTCGTTTCAGTGACGCAGGGCTTGTCACACGGACAGAAAACGGTGTCGTTTTGGGTTACAAAGTTGTTTTGATTCAAACACTCATCGTGTACGAGTATCTCTTTACTTTCATCGTGAATTCGTCGGAGACACGCTTGTGGAGTTCCAACCATCTCCGTTACTCTATCCCTTTAAGCCGTCTAAATTTTCAAGATCCCATTTGTTTGAACAAAAGTCTTCACTGGTTTGGTCTCAATCTTGGTAAAGAAGTTGTTGTCTCCATCGATTTCTACGGTCCTGATCGTCAATACCGAGTCATAACTTTCCCTGACTCGGACAAAAGAAAACCGAATTTCAAAAGATCTTGCACGACTTCTCAAGGTAATCTCATGTATATGAACATAGTCTCTGAAGATGATGGAGGAGGTGTAGTGGAGCATAAGTTAAGTGTGTGGAGGCTAAAGAACCGCGAATGGGAGCTTGTTTCTGAGATTTCCCCAAGTTTTATTGAGACCGGTTTAGATTATTTTCCTTTCTTGGTGAACCCTTTTGATAGTGATACCGTGTATGCATGGAGCGAGATGTATGAGTCTTTGGCATCTATCAACTTAAGCAATGGGGAATCTAGGGTTCACAGTGAGCTGGAACGTACCGGAAACGGTCAGGCTCTGAGTTCTGTTGGATGCAAGAGGAAGAAGAGGGACACAATTCGATTCCTCTCCTCCGTATCACATCTTTCGATGTTTGCTCTTCCACGGTGGCTCTATCGGATCCCGGGGAACTCCGAGGTCAGGAAACCTAACACCTTCTGGCTCTTAAGCAACGTTTCAGCCTAAATTTTCTATGTAGAGAAATGAGAAACGAAAAAGAAATAGCAGACGAAATCTTGTGAAACATTTATATTTTCACTTTTATTACTACATAATTACAGTATTAGTGTGTTTAGGCGGGCTGACTTTTAACCGAACCAACCCCGATATTTTTCGGGTTTAGTTTTGATTTGGTTACTTGGGGTAAACCAATCGGTAACATTTCCAAATTATTTGGGTTATCGTTCGGATCGATTGAACCAACAGTTAACCGTTTGTTTTTGTTTTTTAAAAAACCAAAATTATACTGAATCATACTAAATTATACCAAATTTAACTAAAAATGTATTAAAATTTCCAAAGAAAACAAATTAACCGAAGTTATCTAAACTTTCTCGAATTTAACTAATTTTAACCAAACATAAATTTTAATTGAATTGAACTAATTAGTTTCAGCAGCAATATATAGCCAACAAATAAGTACATGAAAAGGGGACATACAAATAGGTTATATTCGATTTTTTCATTCAATATAACTAAACTCTTAATATCAATATATGATTTGCCAAAAAGAAAAAAAAAACCAAACTTGAACCATAAAAATTGAAAACTTGGGTTAATTTCGATAAAGGATTTATTACCTGAATTATTTGTACCTAAACCAAACCATAATTTATTTAGAATTTTAGATTAAATTCAGTAGAATTTTTCAAACCGAAACTACCGAGTAACGAACCATCCGAGCCAAAATACCGGAAGAAACCGAGCCGAAATACCCGAAGAAACGGGCATAAATGAATAGTCGCCAACAAAAAAAATTGTAATAAAGTACCGGGCAAAGAGATACAAACTCGGCTCAAAAGTTATTCTCAAGACTAAAGATCTGACTGGTATGTCAGCTGAATAACAACAGAATAGCTAAATAACTGAAAAATTACTAGCAGAATGAACTGAATAATATTTTAACTGAATAATTGTGAAACGCTGAAAAACTATTTTTAGTAGATTAATCACATTTTTTTAGTTATATTTTTAACACGCTAGCAGAATCACATTTCAAAAACATAAAAACGTGATGAATAACATGAATGGTAAAAAATAACAGAATTGAAATTTCCATGTCCAAAACTTGAAAAAACTACATACCATTCAAACCCTAAATCTCACAAAATCGGACCAATGTGCTCAAGAGACCTTCAAAAAAGTATATAAGCTGTATGTATATAAGCTCATACAGGTTCTGCACTCACTCACCAACGCAAGTTTGCATAAAACTTCGGTTTGTTGATATCTCACAATACAAGTGATCCGTTACAGAATCAAAACAAAAGAGTTTCGCGGAAAGAGAGAGAGACTAATACGTGACGTTATTGGGCAGATTTCTGATGACGTTGCTCTTCATCCCGAGCCTAACACTCATTTTCGCTCCTCTCTTGTTCATCTCTCTCATCACCTTCATCCTCACTATGTCCTCCTTCGACTGCACCGTTGCTAGACCCATGCTCTTGTACCTGTGATAAAACATCCATTGAAGTCAGATTCGACAGAGAGAGTACGAGGTGATCGATCTCTGATGGGTGAAAGACAAACCTCGAGGCTAAAGAGTTGACAATGTGCTTCTGAGAAGATGGTGGTGGCTTCTGTTTGTAGTATCGCATGAACTCTCGAGACCCGAGAGTCCTTGACGTTACTTTATTCTCTGCTCTCTTGGTGATCACAAGCTCGGATCCACCAAAAAGCTCCACGGTGTTCACTGACTCGCCGGATACAACCATCTGATTATCACCTTCGTTGACGTAGCTGTACAAACACACACATTCATAATGAACAATAGTTCAAGCGAAATAAGATTTACCAAAAACAGTGGTGAAAGCAAGAAGAAATGAGAAACCTGCTGCTGTAGTCATAGAACTCTTCAAGCTCTGCATCTTCTTCATCACCACCATCACCGTAATGCACTTTGCAATGGCTCTTAGCTTCCATATGCTTTCTAACAGCTTCCAAGCTGGTGAATGGATGGCACAGCTCATTGCAGTACAGACATATGAAGTCCCTCTTCACCTGAAACAATGCAAGAAGCAGCTAAGAAAACGAACAAACATCCAAGACGACCGTGAAAACTCAAAACTAAAAGTGATGGAGAGAAACTACAAACCTTTAGACCAACATAAGTCAGAAACCCTTTTGGATCCTTAAGGTACTCAATATCAGGAATGAAGAATCCATGGAACTTATGCATATGAACCATGCACTTCTCAATCGTCTTATGCTTCTTATCACACATCAAACAGCAAGTCGGATCCAACTCAAACTCAATACCATCCTCATCCATATCTTCACCAGAGCCAGACTCGTTCTCATCCATCTCTTCATCAGCCAAATCCTCGTCTGAATCAACCTCAACCCATTCATCTTCACTCTCTTCACTCTCTTCCTCAATCGAACCTTTTAGCTGAGCAGGGTCGTTCTTCTCAACGCGGCGAGGAGGAAGCTGCTTGATTATCGCTTTATCCTCTTCTCCGTTGCTTGCACCTAGTGAAGAAGCCTTCACAAGGTGGCTCTTCGACTTGAGATGCTGCTCATGAGCCTTGGGACTCCTGTAACCTTTCCCGCAGATTCCACAGCTATAAAGCATAGGTGCTTCACTAGATTTGATCTTCTCCTGAGCAATCGCAGCTTGTCTAGCTTCAAACAAAGCTTCTGTAACTCCAGGAACTCCAGCAATCTAACATTTCCAGCAATTATCAAAACTATATTAACCCAAACTGATTCATCATAATCACAAGAACATAGAAGAACCAAATCAAATAAACAAACAAACTAAAGCTTTTTCTTCTTCATCACAATCTGGTATCTACAACTCAGGGAAGCTTATAACACGCGCTGCTAGGATTTTCCCGAGAAAACAAACAGACGAACAAATCCAATTTACGGGAAATTCTACGAAAATGAAGAGAAAACAAGTAGAGATGCACTCACCTTGCGCTTGAGATTGTAACGGTGCCATTCGGACTTGTAATGGAACTTCTGCTCAGCGTCGTCTTCGAACTCCTTGTTACACGAATTACATGCTAAACCTGACATCTCTCTGTATCTTAAGAACGATTGAAAATGAAGAAGAAAAATCTGAGAGAAGAGAGTTTTTGAGGTTAGGGATGGCTTTTATAAGTGTTTGCGGCGACGGCTCTTAGGTCGGTCGAGGGAAGAAGGTAAAAGCAAAATTTGTTTACGACGACGACTAACCTTAAAGTCCCAAACGTAATCTGTGTTTGCGTAAGCGGGTGATGTATTATGGGTCGGATCCAGCCAGACCCGTTTGGATTTTTAAATTTGGCCCAGTTGAAAGTTTAATCGGCTCTTTATCAAGGCCCATTTTTAATTTATACCCCTAATGGCTTTTATATTTTCCAAATCAAAATTTATTTATAGACTTTAGGTTGGTAATTTTTTCTGGCTGACACATTTAAGACCATCTGCATTTGCATTGCGTCTCTCATAATTAAATAATAAAAAATAAATTTTAGAATAAAAATGATAAAAATCGATTTCTCATACAGTTTCTCAAAATTAAAATAATAAAAACTAATTTTAAAATAAAATTGATGAAAATCGGTTATCATATGAGAATCTAAGAACCTTTCAAATGGGCACATATCGCCCTACCTTTATACGCTATGGAAACGTATCTTGTTATGACTTTAATTCTTTATCGTGTAGTAAATAGAAAAGAAAATATAATTTATTTCTTTGTATATCACTTTATAAGTAGTTTAAATTTTATTCTAATAAATTAAATTTCCCATAGTTTTAAAACCTAATTAATTTTTTTATATATTATAATTTTTTTTTCTATATATTATAAAATAAAATTATCTATCTAACAAACTCCATTATATATTAAGTTTAAATTATATATTAACATTTTATTTAATTAATAAAATTTAAAATTAATAAAATAATATCAAAATAATATTTTTTTAGTTAAACAATAATAAAAATATTAGAATATTTATTTCTAAAAATTTAAATTAATATTAAAAAATAATATATAACTGTAATTTTTCCTATATATATAAACCTCATTTCTTTATCTTTTTACATACCATATCATTTTTTCCTTCCTTTCTTTCTTGGGAATCTTGCAAAATGACCCACAAATTAAAGTCAATTGCTAAAATAACCTCTCATTTTACCACTTTTGAAATTAACCACTTTCTCTCACTTTTATCTTTATCAGTTTTATTTATTCACGAAAATATCAATAGAGTATTGTAATTTTTTTATTATTTTGGAAATCCATTTTACCAAACAATCCTCATCTTCCTCATTTATTCACGAAAATGCAATCACCATCAATTCAATCAACCACCATTTTCAACCAATTTGAAGTTTTTAGCGCTTCAATAATCCATTTTCTGCTTTGTAAGCTCATTTCCTCTAATCTTAACCTTTAATTCTTCCATTTTAGTCTATTTTCAGCATAAAATCTCTCTAATCTAACTTCTCAAAAATTGATGTTCTAAGATATTGCCATATTTGGTGATTTGGTCTGACAAATCGATTGGGCTTGTTTGGTGGTGGCTAGAATCAAAGAAATCGGTGGTTGAAGAAGCTAAATACCACTAGTAGGTGATTTTTCAGTCAATTTTCGTGGGTTTTCAGATCTGTGCCGCGAAAGTAGACTTCCTAAAAAATCTACTTTCGGTAGTAGACTTCAGAAGAAGTCTGCTGGTCAACACACAAGTTAGTTTTGCAATTGACCGTATGTACCAATTTCTGACAGTAGACTTCACTTGAAGTCTGCGCCATTTCCTTTGACAACAAAAAAACATAGTGTAGACTTCAAAAGAAATCTACGTAAAAAGGGGTTAGTTTTGCAATTGACCAGCCTTTGACTTTTTCGTATTCTTAGAGGTTGGTTTTGCAATTGACCAAGGTTGACTTTTTCGAGTAGACTTCGTTTGAAGTCTACTTTTACGAGTAGACTTTGTTTGAAGTCTACATTCTGAGTAGACTTCAAACAAAGTCTACTCGAAAGTTAATTCAATGTTTGGTCAACCCGAAAACTAACCCAAGTAGACTTCGTTTGTAGTCTACTTCAAAGTCAACATTAGTCAGTTGCAAAACTAACCTCTAAGAAGTCTACTTTGAAAGTAGGCTTCTTACGAAAAAGTCAAAGTTTGTTCAATTGCAAAACTAACCTTCTTTTACGTAGAATTCTCGAGTAGACTTCTCGGAGTGAGGAGACTTCTTTGAAGAAGTCTACTCATCTTTTGGCAATTGCAAAAGTAACCTAAAATATAGACTTCATACGTTCGTTGTTAGTCTACTTTTGTAAACTTCGTTGTTCGTCTGCTATTTTACTTTTTTATAAACGCGTTTTTATCAAATTTACAACGAATTTTTGAGATTTTTTTGGTCCTACGATTTTTTAGTAAGTGTACTTACATTTGTATCAGTTTTAAATGTTTATATTATATTTACTTGGTGAAATCAAGTTTTTTATTTTATTTGGTATTTAGCTTATTAGTCTGTAGATTTTGCTTGCAGTTTGCGACATTAATTTTTTATAAAATTAATTGATCAGATATTTGTAACAAATAAAATTTATTCTTTAACTCTTAAGTATGTGTTATTTATTGTTCTTCCTTATGTAGGAGTTTGACATGTTTTTTTGTTATAGTTTAGCTTTAATTAAATTTTTGTTCTATTTGGTATTTAGCTTATTAGTCCGTAGATTTCACTTGAAGTCTACATAGTAGACTTCATTTGCAGTATGCGACATTAATTTTTTTATAAATTTAATTGATCAGATATTAGTAACAAATAAAATTTATTATTTGACTCTTAAGTGTGTGATATTTATTGTTCTTGCTTATGTATGAGATTAAAATTTTTGTTTGTTACAGTTTAGCTTTAATTAATTTTCTTCTTTTATTTGGTATTTAGCTTAATAGTCCGCAGACTTCATTTGAAATCTACATAATAGAGTTCGTTTGCAGTCTACTTTTTCGATAATGATTTCTACTGTGGTTTGAATTTTGTTTTCTTACAGAGAATGGTTCACATACCCACTGTTTATAGAGAATGTGGGAAGAAAGACTAGTTGTGGTATTTTTAAGTAGTTTTACATGTTTTTTTTGTTAAAAGTTTTACATGTTTTTGTATAGTTAAAATTGAATTAATTTTCTTGTGTTATTAGAGGTTCAAAGATTGTGATAACTAAGAGATGTCAAGGAAGAAGTTTGGTGATGACCATATGTTATGTAATATAAGTATACTTGCGTGGTCTACTAAAAAAGTCTAATTGAGAAGTCATATATAAAGTCTGACAAAGAAGTCTGCATATGAAATCTAAATATAATAAACACACATAATTTAAGAATATAATAAATAACATTCAGTGCAATCCAACTTTACATATAAAGTAGACCTTCTAAACAAACAAACATTTAAGGATCACTTATTATAAATCTTAAAATTGGCATATAAAAACAAAATGTCTGAAATAGATGTATGTGATTGAAGTCTGCTCGAGAAGTTTGCTCGAGAAGTCTACTTGAGAAGTCTGCGGCTGAAGTCTGCTTCCAATAAAACCAAAAGAGAAATAAATAAGCTCAAGTCTGCAGAATAAGAAAAAAAAATATTAAAATTCATATTTCAACAAAATATGCTATATTTACAATGCAACAAAAAAAATTCTAGATCTACAATAAAATAAAAAAAATTCAGATCTGCAACAAAATAAACAAAATCAGATCTGCAACAAAAAAAATTTCAGATCTGCAACAACAAAAAAATCAGATCTGCAACCAAAAAAAAAATCAGATCTGCAACAAATTTTACAAAATTTACACAACAATAAGTGCATATTTGCAAGAATAAACTCAGATCTACAACAATAAGCTCAAATATGTAACAATAGACCCAGATTTACAATATGAACACAAAGCAAACAACAAAAGAAACACAAAACCTCAGATTTTCTTACCATCACCATAATTGAGATAGAGAGGATGGAGGATAGAGATGAGACTGAGGGCTAGAGAGGAAGGAGAAGAGATTCATGGCCAGAGAGGAGGTAGAGGAGAGAGAGGCATTTTTTAGAGGGAGAGAAAACTTTATTTTTAACCCAATTAGGTTAATCTCCTTATATATGTAGGAAAAATTTCGGTTAAGTAGACTTCTTACTGGAGAAGTCTACTCGAAAAATCTACTTCAGTATATTTTTTCGATTCCGATTCTCGTCCAGTTTGTTTCGATTCCCACCCAATTTGTTAACTAATTTTGATTTCCCGCTACGTTTTTAAGTCTACTGGAGAAGCGTACTGTATAAGTCTGTTTACCTTAAACCCTAAATCAAATATTTTTGATTTAAACTTGTATCAAAATATTAATTTTCTTACCATTTTCACATTTTAAAGTTCAAATAACAATGATATAGACTCTAAATCATTTACCAAACCATAAACTATACTTCATATATAATTTGGGTTTACCCTAACAATACCCTAAATTTTACATCTCAAACCCTAACCCTTTTGAACTTCAAACCCGAACCCTTTTCAACCTTATACTTATGAAACTTATAAATTGATTATTTTCATGAAATTTTATTTAATATAGATGCCAATTGTCTATGTTTTGGTTATTTTTATAATTTTTGTATCATAATATTTTTTATAATTTTAGTAAAAAAAAATTAAGATTTAATTATGTAGTAGACTTCTATAGTAGACTTCTAAGAGGTTGTATGTTTTCAACATAATTTTTCTTTTTGCATTTAAATTGATTCATTTGTATGAAATTTTGTATTCTATACATGTTAAATATATATGTCTTACTATGTTTACTAATTTTTTTAGAAATTTTTTTATTTTATATTTTATAATTGATATTTAAAAAACTTATTATGTAGACTTCTTGGATAGTCTACAAAAAAAGACTTCTTTACAAGTCTACAATCGTAGACTTTTTACGTAGACTTTCCGAAGGATAAAATCGTAACTGTGACAGATGTTTTTTGTTTAGTCACAAAAGACTGAGCTGTTATTCACTATCCATTTGGGTTAGTTTTGCCAAACATTCAATGGAGGGTCTATATATTTTAAAAAAAAAACTTTTAGATCATAATAAGCAATTCTCCCTTCTTTCTTTCTTACTTTCTCTCCTTCTTTCTTCTTTTCCTCAATTAATTCCTTCATTTAATTATATTATGGATTCAAACAATCCATGTTATTTTTCAAACAAATTTCAGGGATCTTCTTAGTACTCAACAAGAAGGAAACACTACAAATCCTTTTCCTTTTGTTTCAACTTTAATCCAATTGAGTCCACCAGAAATTTCACAATATACTACCCAATATAGTAATATGGGTGAGGAGAGTGATGATCGAAATGATCCAAACCAAGTTCAAAACACAACCGATCGTAGAGAGACAAGATGCAAATGGAGTCCAAGCGAAGATACCATTCTCATTAGTGCATGGCTAAATACTAGCAAGGATCCAATTATGGGTAATGAACAAAAAGCATCTGTTTTTGGAAAAGAATTGCTATGTATTATTCATAAAGTCCAACAGCTGCAAACCTACCAAAGCGAGAATGGAATAATTGCAAGCAGAGGTGGCTAAAAATAAATGCTAGCGTTTGTAAGTTTGTTGGATACTATGATCATGCTTTGAGTCAAAAAACTAGTGGCCAATCTGAAGATGATGTTGTCAAAGTTGCATATCAAATCTACTACAACGATCACAAGAGTAACTTCACACTTGAGCATGCTTGGTGGGAGCTCCAAAATGATCAAAATGGTGTAGTTTTTACAAGTCTCAAAGCTCTAAATATGGTGGAAGCTCAATGAGAACAAAGATTAATGAAGATGGATTATATTCTTCAAGCTCTAATCCGGAGATTCCTATAGATGTAGATGTAGAGGATCAAATTACGGTTCGTCCCCCTGGTGTGAAGATATCAAAGCACAAAGGGGAAAAAGTTGCTACAAAGACAACAAACAAAGAAAGGGAGAGACCAAATTTAGATCAAGACTCGGAAATTTGCTGGCACTAAAGAAGGAAGACATAGAAGACCGAAAACAAATATCAAAGATGAAAGTGCTTAAGTGTCTCCTTGCAAAAACTGAACCACTCTCAGAAAAAGAAGAAACTTTCAAGAATAAGCTAATTGATGAAATGCTATAGTCTTGAGGCATTAACTAATGTAATATTAAGTAATTTGTTGGTTTGTCTCGATTTTATGTTGGTTTGTCTACTATGATATTTTTTAATTTATTTCTTTAGTATCAATTTTTTTATTTTGTGAGTTTGTTTAATTTGTTATGGTTAACAAAAAAAATTATACAAAAGAGTATGATATTTAATGTATCAACAGATAGTGGATTTTTCATGACAAAATTAATTTGTTTTGAAAACCTAATTTCCAACGATTAAAGCATATCCTCATTTGCTTTGATTATTAGTATAACTGAAACCATGTTTGTGTCTAATTTCCAACTTAATTTAATGCATACAATTAATATGTTTACATTTTTCAACATAATTTTAAAAAAAATTCAAATACACCATCAATATTCTGATCATGTTGCAGAAAAATAAATAAAAACTATTGGACTTTTGAAAACACCCAATACATATTCGATATAATAACATTAACCAAAAATGAAATCATGTTTGTGTCTAATTTTCAACCTAATTTAATGCACATAATTAATATGTTTACGTTGAAACATAATTTTTAAAAATCCAATACACAATCAATATTCCAATCATGTTGCAGAAAAATAAACTACTCCTTCAGTTTCACATGTAAATGTCTGTTGTGTCTTTTATTAATACAATAAAACTGTTTTTCTCTCTAATTAATAAGCTAAAATAACAGGGATAGAACTGAGATTTAATTTTAAAAACTGTATTGAAATGGAAAATGATACTTTTTATGAAACAAAAATAAAATGTTAAAATAACACTCTTTTTGAAATGGAGAGAATATTAAACTTTTAAAAACATTTAATACATGTTCATTATAATTACAGTAACCAAAACTGAAAACACATTTATGTCTATTTTTCAACATAATTCATAATATCTACAATGCACACAACTAATACAGTGAGTGTGGAAGATTTATAGTATTTAATAACATAAGCTTTTTATGTCTACTTGCACTTTTTCATTTTTTTTCTTATGGAAAATCCACTTTCATATATTCAACATCGTCTCATTTTCTATGCTACATTTTTAGAGTTCTCCATCTACTATTATAACTCCATTCTATAAATCTAAAGCTACACACAAACCTCTTTCATATATATATATATATATTCAATGTCATCTCCTTTTCATAATCCACTCAATTCTTCATTAGATGAAAAATTTGATAAAGCATTTGATGAAGAATTTGACATTGTATTTAATAAGTGGTTGGATGATTATAATAAACTTCAAGAGACAACTAATTCAAGAGAGTGAAGTCGACGAAAGTATATTGAAAGAGATCGCAAGGGAGGACACACCCACTTGTGGAATGACTATTTTAGTGAAGAGGTGATTTACTCAGATCAATTCCAACGTCGATTCAGAATGAACAAGTGGTTATTCATGCGTATATTTAATCGACTCTCAAACAAAGTAGAACACTTTCAACAAAGACGAGATGCTATCAGAAATTTAGGTCTCTCCACACTACAAAAATGCACCGCTGCTATATGTATGATGTCGTATGGTTGTGTAGCTGATGCAGTAGATGAATACGTTCGAATTGGTCAAAGCACTGCAAGGTTATGCTTAGAAAAATTTGTAGAGTTATGCTTAGAAAACATTGTAGACGGAATTATATTTTTGTTTGAAGATAAACATCTAAGAAGACCTACGCTCGAGGATCTCCAACAATTACTTGAAATTAGAGAGATGCGTGGATTTTCAAGCATTATGGGAAACATTGATTGTATGTATTGGGAGTGGAAAATTTGTCTCACGACATGGAAAGGACAATATTCGTGTGGAGGTAGAAAGCCAACAATCGTTTTAGAGGTTGTTGTTTCAAATGCTATTTGGATTTGGCATGCATCTTTTGGACTTCCAGGTACACTAAATGATATCAATGTTCTAGACCGTTCACATGTTCTTTAATTTTCTGGGGTTGATTTTGCAAATTGAAATGGCTAACGGGATGGATTTTGCTTGAGTAATGACATGATTATGGGAGTTATTGTTAGATTTGTGTTTTCTAAATTGTTGAGGGTTATTATATGGTATGTATTTTTTTGTTTGGGTACTTTGCAAAAATTAGCACACAGGGTGTTCAACAGAATTCATAGAAGAATTTAAAACTTGTTTCTTTACTTATTAACTAGGTAATTATTCCTTTTTACAGTGAACCTATATTGGTGAAAGTGAATTGCCATGGGCAATTCAAAACTGAAAGTGGAGAGCTAACTTATGTAAATGGAGAAGTTGAGGTTTTAAAGGTTGATGTAGAAACCATATTTCAAGATGTGATATTCAAGATGGTTCATAAAACAGGGTTGAGGAAGATGACAGCAGCATGGCGTTGGAGTAGAGAAATTGATATCTTTATTGAAAAACCAATTGTGAATGAGGGAAACAATAATGAAGAAGATGGTGATGGGGAAGAAGCCGAGAGTGAGGATGATGGTCTCTCTGAATTTAAAGACACGGATGACGATGACGATGATGATCATGAAGTTGTTGAGGAGGACATGGAAGTGTTTAATAATGTCAATTATGATGATGAAATACCAGATGAAGGTGAAGTGTATCCTGATACAGAAGCATCATCTGATGAAGAAGAAGAACAAGCTGAAAGGTTGGCCCGAGTTGGTTTACCAGATGGTGTGTTCAGTTTTAGGCAGACATTTTCAAATGGGGGAGAAATTTTAAAAAAAACATCATTACTTACATTCTGAAGAAAAGACGAAATGTGAATTTTGATAGATAGGAGAAAACAAAGCTTGGAACTAAATGTAAAGGAAAATGTTGTGGTTGGCGTATCTACTGTTCAGTGGAGAATTTAATTAAAAGGTGGATGGTGAAAGTTTATGAAAATAAGCACACTTTTCACCATACTGGTAAGTGCAAGCTTATCAAGAACCCTGTGATTGTGGCTATCATTTTAGAAAACATGAGGAAAGTTCCTGAAATGAGTGCACTTGTGATCAAATAAGAGATGAGAAAAAGATACAACATCATTATCTCGAAACCTCAGTCCCAAACCACAAGAAGAATGGCTCTTGATAAGCTACAAGCTGAGTGCAATGAGCAATTTGTAAGGTTGAGAGACTATTAACTGGAACTCCTACTGTAAGTTCTGATTTTTTTTTTAAGAATTCTGTTTTTTGCAGGTTATTTTGGAAAGTGCTTTTAGTTTGTTTTTCAGATTTTTGTAACTTGAAATGATGAGTTCTTATTTGGTTTTATACAGTACAAGTGCAGGTACAATGGTGGAGATCAACACCACTTCAAAAGCTAATGGAGCTCAGGCTTTTAGTAGTTTTTATGTTTTTTTTTATGCGTTGCAGGTTGTGTGGAAGCAGAATTGTAGGCCTATAATTGGATTGGACAGAACATTTATGAAGCATTCATTGCAAGGTATAGTGTTGACTGATATAGGTAGAGACCCGAATAATCAGGTTTTCCCGATAGCATGGGTTATGGTCTTAGTTGAGAACAACAATAATTGGTAGTGGTTTATTCATAAACTTAATGTCGACTTGGGGTTGGGCAGTAGTGAGCAATTTACTATTATCTCAGATATGCATAAAGGATTGATACATAGCGTTGCAGTTGAGTTACCTAGAGCAGAACATCGAGCTTCTGCAAGATATATCTATTCCAACCTAAAGAAGCATCACAAGTCTGAAACATTGAAACCTTTGTTTTGGCGTATGGCAAGCAGCTACAATGTTCCTGATTTTTAGAAGAATTTGGCTACCTTCAGGGAATTTGATGCAAAGGCATGTGATGATCTCTTCAAACAAGATCATCGTACTTGGTGCAAGGTTTTTTTAGGACTGGTGCTTGTTGTTTTGACACACATAAAAATCTAACATAGTCTTTTAATAGGACAATGAAGATTGTTAGGAAGAAGCCGTATGTGCAGATGCTAGAGTTAATCAGAAGAGACGCAATGCAAAGAATTGCAAATAGGCCTAAGACGACTAACAACAAGGCTGGGAAATACACACGCAAAACAAGAAAGGAGGTACAAAAATCATGTGATGAGGCTCAGAATTGTTATTCTATTTCTAGCACAGATGGACAATTTGAGATTGTTGAATTTGGGAATGGTTATAATGTGAACTTGACTACTCGTACTTGTGCATATCGAAAGTTGGATTTGACTGGCATTCCTTGCCGTCACGCGATTTCTGCAATAAGAGAGAATGATATGGAGGTTGAAGATTATATATCTGATTACTACTTGACATCAAAATGGCAAGATGTGTACCGAAATGGGTTAAAGCCTGTAAATGGTCCAAAATTTTGGCATTGTCTGGTGAAGAAAAGCTCCTCTCTACAAACGTCCTCCAAGAATACCTAAAGGCAAAACAAGAATAAAAGGTGTACATGAATCACCAGCAAATAAACAGACTAAGGTGAGATGTAAAAGAAGAGAAGTTCATTGTGGGTTATGTGGAGAAGAATGACAATTCAAGAAGGTGTCCTCATGAGGTATATATAATTTTGTTTCTGTTTACATCTTCTTTTGCTTTTTTGGAGATTTTGTATGTTTTGGTAAGTTTTGTTTTTGTTTTCACAGTAAGAAAGTAGGGAAAAGCGAAGGCGCAACAATGTGGAAGGTCAAGAAGCTCAAGTGAAAAAAGGTGTCATTGACAGCACCTCCAGCAAGTCAACTTGATAGAGCAGATTGAAACTAGTTTGTTCTATTTTCTAATATGTTCTATTTCTTATAGATTCTTATATCGACCTATGATTTCTTATGTAATCGAGTAGAATATTATGTCTTTTATGGGTTTTTAACATTTTTTACTTCTCTGTTGCTAATTTGATATCAGGAAACAAAATTTTTGTCAAGTTCTCTGTCATGCTTTCTGATTCACGTTAAAAGCTTACAAAACAAATTAATTAAGATAAATAAGTTCTTAAGCTTAGAAGTTCACATAGAACAAAGTCATTAAACTTAATTCATAGAATATGTAAAGTGGTTAATCGGTTTAAATTTAATATTTGGGGGTTTATATATTTTGAAATTTTAAATTTAATCCTATAATTACCAGATCCTACATAAATTCTCTAAATGTACTTTGCAGCATATTTTGTGATTTTTTATGTATGTCACCATGCATTAGATTTTTGTTTGTGTAGCTAAATATACATCTTTATACTTGGGATGTGTAGCCATGTAATTATCCAAATTCTGTGTAGCTAACAAACATTTTTTCCAATCAATATTCTGATCATGTTGCAGAAAATAAAATATTAGGCTTTTAAAAATATCCAATACATATTTGATATAATTACAGTAATCAAAACTGAAAACACATTTATGCCCATTTTTAACCTAATTCTTTATATCTACAATGCACACAATTAATACAGTGAATGTGGAAGAGTTATAGTATTTAATAACATAATCTCCTTACGTTTACTTGCACTTTTTATCCTCTTTTTTTCGTGTGTCAAATCCACTTTCATATATTCAATGTCGTCTCTTTTTTTATGTTACATTTTTAGAATTCTCTATCTATCATTTTAACTCCATTCTACAAATCTAAAACTACACACAAACCTCTTTCATATATTCAATGTTGTCTCTTTTTTTATAATCCACATTTTATATCTCTGTCAAAACCATAGAGATAACATAATTCTCCAATAGAGATCTCATAAAGAACACCATTAGAGAAGTAGGAGAGAGTTCCTTCACTTGCAACGGGAAGTGCACCATCCTGAAATCGGAGCTCGGCTCAAGCAAGGAACTGTCTGACTAACTCGGGATAGAGAGGATATATGTTATAAGCAATTGTACCAAAGTCCTATCGTCTCTAACATGCCCTGCACATCTTCTGTAATACTCATCTTGTTCATTGTCATTCTACAAAATGCAGCAAACCATTATAGAAAATATTGTTGTAAACACCCGAAGGATCTCCATGTTTTCTTCTAGTGTAGCGGCTGTAGATAGCATCTCTCTGGTGGGAATATTAGGGATCTCGGGAGTTATACCATCTAGAATTGGTGTGTTATCAGGGCGAGGCCAAGGCGCGGTGGTGTTATTTGTTTCATCTTCTTCAACATTGCGTGTTGACGATGATGCAAGCCCAATCCCTTTGCATTTCTGTGATTGTCTATCAGTTCCACCGTTTACCGGATTCTTGTGAACTGGACCAGTAGCATTGTTTTTTTCCATTGCCTGCAAAAGCAAACCAAACACCAAATTGATCCTAGATTTTTCAAAAAAATTCTCAAGACTGTGGGAATTTGCAGAAACTGTGAAACTGGACCACACAAGCAATAACCAGAGGCATCAATGAAGTTGAAGTAATCCATTAACAGCATCAAGCAAAGAGAATTCGGATAAAACCCAGAAATTTAGTCAATTTCGCACTTATAAACCATAAAAATGCCAATCTCAAATTAAGTCACACAAAATGTTGAATCAAGGCAGGGGAAGGTGCGGTTCAGTCCAAGAACACTATAGGAAGCCACGATTTCATCCAAAACACCTCAAGAATCCAAAAATTCTAACTTTGAACATCATGTGGAGAATTGATAAAAGTGGAGATAGAGTTTCGTACCTTTGCAGATCGAGAGAGACGATAGTAGAAACAGAAAGAGGGTGAAAATCCGATCAGAATGGAACCAATAATCGCTCAAATCCGTGAAGAATTGCAGAAGTTAGGGTTTGTGAAAGATTTTGCTCAAGAACACCCAAAAATCGCAGAAAAAATAGAGAAGAAGAGAAAATCGTGTTTTTTTGTCCAGAAAATCAGTTTGTGGGTAGTTAAAACCTCATCTTTGGTTTGATTTAAGTGATTGAAAATCATTTTGGTTCAGAGAAAACCAAAAAACAAGTTTAGAGGACTTACCTGGTACGTGGAACGATTGTTCTGCACCAGAACGATCAATCCTGCCTCCGTTGGTCGATCCTGAAAGTAGCCGCAAATTTTTTGTCTGCCGTGCAGAACGATCGTTCCCTGGTGGAACGATCGATCCACATTTTTTTTTTAAGCACATAAAAGTAAAACCAAAAGTTAGTAGATAAAGAAAAAAATAAACATGAAATATTTACACTTACCAGTGGGTTGCCTCCCACCAAGCGCTTGTTTTAAGTCTCGAGCTTGACTTTGGTTGCCTTTTACGCTGGAAGTGCATCACTGAGAGGGATGATTTTTTCTCCTTCAGTGATTTTAGTATCCGCTAGGTAGGGTTTTAGGCGATGACCATTGACCACGAATTCACCTCCTTCAGTGTCCAGTAACACAACAACTCCATATGGTTTCACTTCTTTGATTGTGAAAGGACCAGACCATCTTGATCTCAATTTTCCTGGAAAAAGTTTCAGGCAGGAGTTGAAGAGCAACATCTGATCATTTGCAGTGAAATTCCTAGGAAGGATCTTCCTGGCATAATAAGCCTTAGTCATTTTGTAGAGCCCCGACCCAATTTTTCTAACCAGCAGTCGAAACAATACTAACCTGGTCACACCGTGACCATACCTCAGGATTGTCTTTCTCTATTTCTTCTACGAGGTTCCAACCCACTATCAAACTAACAACTTAACTCGCTAAGCACAAAACCTAAATCTCATCTCAGATTAGTTCGTACCTTAGCCACTTGCAGATATCGGATGCATTGCTGAAGCCACACTTGTCCGCATGACCCCCTGAGCGCCCTTCACTATCCCGGCTCTCAGCCACCATGTCAGTAACAGCACATCACCCCCTCGTTACAAAGTCACTCAACCAATCATCCCCACATGACCAAGAAAAGAAGAGGGATATCTAGGTTCGCCAGATCATCACGGAATCCCATTCCCGGTCCTCACAACCACCAATAATCACAGACACGATCCTCCCTGATCGCCAGTAGCACAGACATGATCCTTACGACCATCAGCAACCACAACCACGATCGTCCTGATCGTCTGTAACCTTGTAACACATCACCCCTTCGTTACTCAGTCACTCAACCAACCATCCCCATATGACCAAGTAACAAAGAGGGACGGCTCGGATCATCTATCCCTTGCCTATCCAGTCAGCCCAGTTCACGATCTCCCTGGCCCTGTCCATAATCTCTCGATGGACTCTCCTGGCTGACCACTCATCCATAACATCTTCTCGACATAATGCTCCATTTGATGCATCACACGGAATATCGTCTTTCTCTTGGTGAAAGATCGATCAGAACACGTTTCTCTCAGTGACAGTCCAGACCTCTGACGATCTCTCGGCAACAGTCCAGATCTCTCGGCGATCTCTCAGTGAGAGTCCAGATCTCTCGGCGATCTCTCACATCTCCCGGCTATCGTCGCGATATTTCCAGCCATTCTTCTTCCTTGTTGGAGATCTCCGCTTTCTCCCGGATATGGTCACGGTTTTACCGTTTCTCTCGGATATAGTCACGTTTGATCCACCGATCATTCGCATCACCCAGCTATCAACGCGAGACATCCAACCATTCCTATTTCTCTCCCAGATAACTTGCTCTTCCCTCGGCTACGTTGCCTTTCTCTCGGATAACATCCTTTATCCTGGTCTTCTCTCAGATATGGTCACGGCTTAACCATTTCTCTCGGATATAGTCACGATTGATCTACCGATCATTCGCATCACCCGACTACCATTGCGAGACATCCGACCATTCTTATTTCTCTCCTAGATAACTCAATCCTCTCTCGGATCAAATTCCCTTTTCCCCCGGACAAAGTCGAACTTCTCTCGGATATGGTCAGAGCACTCCGGCTGCGACTCGACTGTAATCAGGGCATCATCCTTTTCTCTCGGCTTACTCCTGGGATACTCCGATTCTCTCGGCTAACTCCCGGGATACTCTGATTCTCTCGAGTAATCCCCCGGCCATCCTCTCTCTCACGCTCTATTTTTCTCAAATAATGCGGCTCCCTTCCAAAAATCCCTCTAGGACTCTTTTTATACTCGAAACCCTAAGTAACCTGGCCTAAACCGACTTCTCCCAGTCAGAGTAGGATTTCTCCTGATCATCTTTTATTTCTCCCCGGTTATCACCTTAACCGCTCGACTATCATAGCGAGAAATCCTTTTCCCATCGGGAAACTTTAAGTTTTCTTTGACCAAACTCAAAGGCCCACGGCCTAGCCCTTTTTTCTCTCAGATAACCGCCCTTATCTGAATTATTTCCCTTCTGTCCGGCCACTTTCCATTACCCGGATATTCTCACTTCCTCGGCTAATTTTCTATTTTCCCTCGAACACAGTCCACTATCACTCTGACTAACCCTGCTCTCACTCGGATTAATCTTATTTTTTCACAGACTGGACCATTTTCTCTCGGATATGCTCTATCCGGCTCGGCTATTCCAGCCATCTATCCGACTATTTTCCAGTCATCACCCGACCATAGTCTGAACCTCCCAGTTCCCAGCCAATATCCGTCTTTGGCTCGATCATTCCTCGGACAATGTCCTGTCTGGGTCGATCATTCCGAATTTTTTCGGATACAGATGCTACAACTCTCCCCCACCCATTTTGGATTCGTCCTCGAATCCGACTCGTCTGTTTGCAAACCATTTAGGATACTCGGCTTTCATCCTAGCCTCCCTTCCCCCTGAAACCTGTTCCTGTCCATCGCATTCCCATACGACCTGGAACATCCTGACTAGCTTACCCCGCTTAGTCTTTTCCTTTCTACATAA